CTAGTTCTGACATAGCTTTATACAAAATCTTCCTTCCATTTTAAATAATGCTGTACATTGAAATCAGTGTTAAAAGACAATACTGGAGTGACTGTCATGCAAAGAACATCCTTGGAGATAACTGAAAATTACAACTGCAGTGTATTATTAGTCATGAACTTCATTTGGTCACTTTGGCATCTGAATTGCTCTATATCATCTTGGTCCACCCCAGAGCTTTAAAAGTTCTAAATCCCTGACTTCTGCAGGTAGGGCTGAGAGAAAGCACCCGTCTGACGCCCCAGGGAGTCACTGCTGGGTGAGACCAGATGCTTGACTTAATCTAAGGCACCGTCCTATGTTCTTACATCCAAATGTGAACATGTGCAGAGAAGAGGGACTGCATATTTTGCTCCTGTGGCCACATCTGGTAGAGAAGAAATTGGGTGGAGAGGACCTATGGAGGCTGACCCCAATATGGCAGGTCTTGGCTGCTCTCCAGAGTTCTGAACTGTGTCATTGAAGAGGACTCAAGCTGCAAGGGCACTAACAAAATGGCTTGCTGATGATTCCTTATCAGAAATTGCCGCTGCTTTCCAAGCCCCCCTTAAAATGTCATCTCTCCATGTGGCTGCAGCAGAAGTGACAGTTGCAGAGGATTTTAGAAACATGCAACTTTAAAGGGACTTTATTTAAGTAAGGCTTTTGATTGCTGCTTTTTATTGCAAGCGAGCCCAAAGCAGTTGATTCCTGCTTCAAACTCTGTGCGACTCCAGGGTACTCTCCTCTCCCCAACATCCCCATTTCTGCTGCCTTGGAGAGAATGTCATTATGTTCATGCTTGATTTGATGATTGGATCCTGCCATTCACTTAACAGGAATTTTGGGGGTGGGGCCATGCTTAGTTCTTCCGGTTAGATTCTTGTTTGCTGCCAGTCATGGGCAGCCACTCATGCTGAAGTATGCCTGTTGCTGTTGCTGTTGCTGCTGCTGCTGCTGCTGCTGCTTTTTGTTTTTTGTTTAAACTATTCTCCCCTCTTAGGAATACTGCCAGGAATTCATTGGTGAATGGAGGAGGCTAGATCTAGATGTGGTGCTTTGTCCTGTCCTGGGTCCTGCTTTTAAGATTGGGTTACCTGGGAGACTGTCAGGTAATTCCACATTGCATGGGAAATGAAGTCTCCAGAGGGCACTGGTATAGGTTGGAGTACTTTCATGTATACTGCAACTTGCACTGGATTCTGATGCTCTAAGCCAAGAATGGTCAACCTTTGTGTTTACAGAAGCCTCTTTATTGTCCAGACAATACTCTGGGGACTGGATGTACAGTATATCTTGTTGCACAACCTAACCACCTTTTATAAGTCAGTGTGGCTTAGCAGCAATAGATTCCTACTTAAAAGGCACATATGCTTGGGTGATGTGTAGTGGCATTCATGTTCTTGGCAGAAGATCTTCTCAACCTGAGGAGGAGGTTGATGGTACTTCTGTACTTCTAACTGAATGTACAAGAGAGCAATGCAATAATAATAAAAAACCCTGATAGGAAATATATTCAGTGTATTAGTACTTCTTCTCTAAGTCACTGCTGAGTAGGGAATTGCAAACAAAACATAATGGAGAGCAAATATCTCTCTGGTTGTCTTCAAGCATTCTACATTAGTGGTTAAGCAAACACTCAAGGGAGGCCATTAGCTCTGCCCCACTCCACAAGCTTGGAGAGTGAACTTCCAAAGTGGAGAGCCTCCTTGTCAAAGCTTCTAAAAAACCGCAGAGAGCCTATCTGAGTACAGGAGGCTCACTGCTTCTGAAGTTTGGCTTCCAATGCATGGCAGGTGACTGGAACAGCAACCAGGCAGAGGTGAGCATAGCTAACCTGGTCATTGCTGCTGTCCTCCCTCACCTGTTGACTGAACCCTAAGGTAGGATGCCTGAAGAGGGGCTTTTGTCATGCAGCCTTGGGAAATGGTTTCTTTGCTCCAGTTTTGGTTGTAAGCAGTTTTCTTTAACCACTCCTTGACTGAAACTTGATAGTCACCAGACCCAAGAACAGTTGTCCTTTGCCTTTCTTTTAAAGTAGCCCAAGGCTCAGCTGGGCCTTACATCAGTGACTGAGGACCATTCAAAACAATTGGATAGTTGCCAGGATGCAGCACTGGAAGCCAAAAGAGAGAGAGATCTCCCGGCTGCACCCTGCCTTTAACAGGCAGGCCACACCCCCTGACCGACTGGATTGGCTGGCCCGGCCATTGACACAGCCGGGAAACCCCAATCGCTGGCCACCCACCCTCTGCACACGGGGAGGGGTTATGAGAACCCGCAACACCACCTCCTCTTATGGCGGAAGTGGCCTTACCAAGCCCTTTGCTATGAGTGCATCTGATGTTGCTCCATCTCCAAATATAAATGTAAAAATGCAGTAAGATGATCCAGGCCAAGTCAGCTGTGCTAATAAGACATTGTGTAGCAGCATGCTTTAAGGCAGGGTGGGGTAGCTGTGCCCCTCCAGATGTAGGACTACAACTCCCATTATCCCTGACCATGCTAACTGGGGCTGATGGGAGTTGGAATCCAGCAGCATCTGAAAGCCCATGGGTTCACAGCAACTTGTCACAAGGGCTGCAGCTGGGCTTGGACGGGTGGGAGGGTTTTTCCCATGCTAGCTCTGGCTTTAGAATAATTGCGAATCTATGCCCCTTTTGTGAGAGCAAGTGTATTTGTGTGCTGGAGTAATTGTGTTGATGAGAGTTTGCAGTAGTGGCCCATGTTCTTGTCAAACACCTGTCTCAGTTGCATGGTGGCAGTGCTAGTGTAATTCAGCTTTGGTGGTGTTCAACAAACTTGTTGCATTAGCACGAGGATGACCACTGGTGCAATGGGACTTCTCACCCTTCTTGCTCCATGCACCTTCCTGAAATATGCTCTGGAGGGTTGGGGAAACACGTAGGACAGATCTGGGGGAAGGAGGAAGAGAAAGAATGATAATATTATGTTGCACAAGGAGGAACCCTTGTGCTGATGGAACGGTTGCTTAGTGCTGCATTGATTATAACCCCTCATGTGTTCAGTGGGTGCTTCCCCTGTAACATTTGTCAGGGCCTTACTATGTATGGGCCAATCTGATCCCACGGGAAGTCTCCAGAAAGACATTGCCGTCTCTTATTGAGGGTCACTGGCATGGAGAAGTCCCTGTATGAAGTGGCCCATGTTTTATTGCTTGAGAGAAGTCTTGATTTCTCCAGTCGGTCTTCTCACCAGTAAAAGGAGGAGGAGGAGAATCTGTCATGTAGGACTCGTAGTGGTGAATCGTAAAGCACTTTCTGCTGTAGGGGGATTAGATGAAGTGCCAAAGAGATTTGACCAGGTGCCCTTATCTATACTTAAAAGTTTTAGCCTGTCCTTTTGTCTCTGCAGTGGGAGCCAGTTACACCATCTTGTATAACTACTTGGACTTCCCCGCTGGAGTTGTGCCTGTCACGTCGGTGACAGAGGAGGATGAGGAGGAGCTGAAGAGTTTCAGAGGGCACTTTAATGATATGTGGGACAAGGTCTTTGCGAAGGTTTGTCACCATGTTGTGTTTGGAAGCAACTGCTTTGTAGTGGGCATCAGAAGCCATTATTTGGTAGGAAAAAACCCTTATTGCCTTGTTCTGTCCCTGCAGGCAATCCAAGGGGCTGTGGGACTCCCTGTGGCTGTCCAGTGTGTAGCTTTACCATGGCAAGATGAGCTGTGCCTCCGGTTCATGAAGGAAGTGGAGAAACTGACCCAGGAGAAATCAAACAAGAATTGAATGACATATTGCAGAAACTGATATGACGGGAAGCTGCGGCCTGCGCCTGGGAAGGCCCATAATAACCATGGACTTGTCTGTGCCTATTTTGATTAAATAACTGAGGTGCTTTTGTGTCTGGTGGTCATTTGTGGGCTTGCTGCAACAACACAGTTGTTTTTCGTTTCAAACTAGAAAACCACAATTGTCAGTGAAACCAGAGCAGTCAGAAAGCCAGAGTTAACTGCTGACAAAAGCAGAGCAAGAAAAGTTGGGAGAGGCATAATGGGAAATGCCCTCTTCTAGACTCCCACTGCCAACCTAACATCTGTAAACTGTGGCACAGTTCGGAGGGCCCCATTGTTGCACCATGGTAGAGACTACATTGTGTTTCTGTGAATTCTTCCATTTGAAGGTTTCTTGCAATCTACTAGCCAATACTGTGGAGATAGCCACACACAACCCAGTGGGGAGGCAGGGAGCTTATAGCTTGCTAACTATGAGCAAAGTGTGTGAGAACTTGGTTCACCCTCTGTGCTGTGTGGTGGGTATTGGAGAAGAGCTCATTGAAAATGCAATAGTAAGTTACTCAGCAGCATAGGTTAGTTTTTTATAAACTGCAAATGAGTTTAAGTTTGGAAATGAGTAACTGTTACTCTTTGCTAAGACAGACCAAAGTCTGTCCATCTCCCAGCCATTTTCTTCAGGCTTCTAAGGTAAAAAGGTAAAGGTACCCCTGCCCATACGGGCCAGTCTTGACAGACTCTAGGGTTGTGCGCCCATCTCACTCTATAGGCCGGGGGCCAGCGCTGTCCGCAGACACTTCTGGGTCACGTGGCCAGCGTGACAAGCTGCATCTGGCGAGCCAGAGCCGCACACGGAAACGCCGTTTACCTTCCCGCTAGTAAGCGGTCCCTATTTATCTACTTGCACCCGGGGGTGCTTTCAAACTGCTAGGTTGGCAGGCGCTGGGACCTAAAGGTCAGGCCAATTATTTGTGTGTGCTTTCATGCATATACAAGATGGCTTGGTTTCCACTGAGAGGAGGAAAATTATGTACCTGATCCTTGTAATGTACAGGCTCTATTTACAAGGAATAAGTTGTCATCATAATGACTATTTTGCTCCTAAAAAAAGAAGTGAGCAATGGTGTCGTTGCTTGTTACATCTGATGTGAAAGAGACTGCTCAGAATTGTAAGGACTCCAGCAGGAAAACAACCTTGAGTTACTGTTTTAACAGATCAAAGGTCAATTTTCTGGGATGCCTTGGGCGGAGTCTTCTCTTGGGAGCCCCTATGTTGATGGTCTCTTGGAGTGTGAAATAGCTCAGGAACTGATACTTAAATAGCACCAGCCTCCTCCAGTATCAGAGAGGGGCAAGCTGGGAAGACAGAGAGAAGGGCTTTGCCATGATCCAGGAGAAGTTGATAGAGATCCTGCCCAGGGATGGAATTTATCCTCAGGCTGCTCTTGCTGTTGCCTGTGGCTCGGCAGCAGCAGTTGTGGTTTGGAAATGGGTGGCCCGCAAAAGGATTCTGCAGAAGATGGAAGAGGCCAGGCAATGGCGAGACGACAGCTTGGAACAAATGGAAAAAATGATTTGGAAATTTAAACAGAAGGTAACTTTTAATTGGGGTGGGGTGCAGGGGAAAGAGATGGAGGCCTCTTCTGAAAATGAGATCTTTCTCAAACAACACTTTTAATGGCTGTGATCATGTCTACCTGAGAGCACTCCAGTCAGGTTTGCTTGTGATCGTGTCCACTTTGTGTGGTTCAAATAAAACCTGGGACCTTCTGGGTGCAAAGCAGGTACTGCTGCACTGAGCTAATGCTGAGTCCCTAAGACGGACAGCATCTTGTGCGCCTCATTCTGGCAATTCCTGCAGCTAAGCTGGTGCCCAGTGTATTGCTTTCCTTTCCTTTGGACCACATCAGTGAGGCTGAGAAGGGGGTCTTGTCTTCTGGGCAGCCCAGGGCCTCCATGACACTGCCTAGGCTTGACCCCAGATAGGTCACTTTGGTGCTGCTAATTCAGCAAAAATAAGGCAGGAGGCAGCAGTTACAAGTTACTGGTCTGTTCAATAGTTGTTGTTTTTTTAAAGGGTATTAGGATAAGTGGATTTTTACTGCATAATCCAGTCCTGTAACCATTCAAAATGAAACCCTACTTTTAAAAGTCACCAGATTATCTCCCACATTCTTCCAATACTAGCTTGAGAGTGGGTCTGTCAGGCCATGCAGGCTGGTTTTGGCTTTTGAACCCAGGATCTTGGTGCCCAAATTGTTAGGATTAGCATGGACTGGGCATGATGATGTTTGCAGCAGTATCCAAAGTCTGTCTCTTAACAGCAAATCTCCTCTTCTGAAACTGCTGGTCACAGGCAGGCTTCAGTCCTGCATTTGTGGGTGGAGGAACATGCATTAAAAGTTGGGAGGCTGCTTCCCCAGCCACTGCCGATTGTGATAGTTCTGCTGCACTTACTCAAGAGTTCATAATCCCATAAATAAACAGGAATAACAAGCTGGTGATCCAGGGTTTGACTGTGACTCTCAAGAGGACAGTAGATTAGTGTTTAACAGATTTGGCAAATATTCCAACATTGCTTCAAGCTCCTGACTTCAAGTGTACACACTAATTTGAGCAAGATCAAGATAGGAGAAACAATTGAAATGGGGAGTTGGGGCCTCATTACAGGCAGCATCAATGTCCCTATCTGCAACACAGGTCCCATTTTGATTGCACCACCACCTGCATCATCATAGCACTCACTGGGAAATCAACATTGTAATAGGATTGTATGAAGACCTTGCAAATTCTGTACTGTTAAAGTGGGACTTTGCTACCAACTGTTGCAGTGCGTTCTTTGGAGTCCTTTTATTCAGAACGCTGCAACTGAGAAACCAGAGACAGGTTTGTCCATGTGAATAAATAGATATGAATGGTTGTGTGTGTGTGTGTGTGTGTGTGTGTACACACAAGCACACACACACAGAGTGGTCCACCCTCTCTTGCTGTGACTATGTCCACAGCTAATATGTCCACAGCCTTAGTAAGTTCTGGCAAAGGTAATACAGACCCCAACAGACAAAAAGGTGTGAAATGGCAGAAGACCTTGAGCTGTTTTGGGTGCCTTTTTAGAAATGTATTTCTCTGTTCCTTAATATATCTATGTACCTCTGCTTGACTAAGAAATTCCCCGAGGAAATAGAAATCTTTACCTTATTTTAGGGATTGCTTCCAAACGGATAGGCGCTCAACCGCCTTGGTTTACTGTTTGAGGAACTTATGACTGATGCGTGTACAATGTCTGTAAATTCTACTTTAGTTTTTGTTGCTATTTTGTTTTGGTTATTGTTTCCTGGATCTATCATGGGAAAAAATTACCCATTTAAAAGCAACAACAACTGATGGGACTGCATTCTGGTTTCACAATTTTGAGCTTGTGACCAAAGTGACTTTTATAACTTGGAGCTATTGCCAATGTGTGAGGATAAGCATTTCCTTCTGACACAGCTGCCTCCTCTTGCAGAACCCGGGAATCCAGTCAGAATTTATTCTCTCCCTGTCGCTTGTGGAACTGGCAGAGAAACTTAGAGAGGAGACACTTTCTCCAGAAAGTGTCCTGTATACCTATGTAAAGAAGGTGAGTGCAACTGCTTCTGTTCAACCACGTAACTTTCCAGATAATGCACCATTTTTATGTACTAATTGGTAGCTGTTGCTCATTTAGTCCCAGGTGCTCTGTCAATGTAGTGTGTCTGTTATAGGGATATCTGTTCCCCCCCTCACCCTTTAAATATTTCCCAATGTCCTCATTTTACAAAGGGCATGGGGGGGGATCAAGTAACAGATAGTGCTGAAGGTTTGAAATGTATTGGAGCTCATAGGAGAACAATCCCTGTCACCTGATGCTGCAGAGCATGGCTATGACTGTGCCATTAGGCAGGAGTGAGTAAGCTCTGGTTCCTGGACCAATTGCTGCCATCCCAGACCACTGACATGTCCCTTAGCACTCTCCCAGTGCCAGTGTGGTATAGTTGTTAAGAGCGGTAGACTCGTAATCTGGTGAACCGGGTTCGTGTCTCCGCTCCTCCACATGCAGCTGCTGGGTGACCTTGGGCTAGTCACACTTCTTTGAAGTCTCTCAGCCCCCACTCACAGAGTGTTTGTTGTGGGGGAGGAAGGGAAAGGAGAATGTTCGCCGCTTTGAGACTCCTTCGGGTAGTGATAAAGCGGGATATCAAATCCAAACTCTTCTTCTTCTCCCCAGGCCAGTCACATCACAATGGCCCTGTTCCATGCTCAAATGATTTTATCTGGCTGGAATGTGTTATTGAAATGTGATCATGCCTTTTACTTGCCTGGCTGGAGAGAGATGTGTGTCTTCTTGTATACCCAAAATGTGATGCAGTGGACAAAGGTCACATACTTTGCTCCACCCATTTTTGACTCTGACCCAACCTATGTGGCTCCTGGAAGGTTACCCATGAGGGAATATGGCCCTCGAGCTACAGAAGTCCCCCAGCCTGCACTGGCTCAACTCTTAATGAATTTGTACCAAATTCTGGGTCATCTAAATCTCAATTATGCTTTTACTGGGCCAAAATGACTGACATGACTTTTCAGTTTGTTAAACTTAGGAGTTGCAAGTAGCAAATTAACAGTCTTCTACCTTCCAAAGTTTTAGACAATGATGACATTTTGAACTTGCTGCAGAAATACCTTTTTTATAATGTGAATGCTCTCTTTCTCCCTATTTTCCCCTCCTCCTCCTCCTCCTCCTCCTTGGCAAGGCTCTTGAAGTGACCCAGGAGGTGAACTGTGTGACTGATTTTATTCACGGCTGTGAGGAACAGCTCCAGGAAGTGAAGAAGCAAAAGGAGAAAGGCCTGCTGTATGGGATTCCTGTCAGCATTAAGGACCACATTGGATGCAAGGTTAATCCCCCTTTTACCCTTAAATGTTGTCATCACTTTCCTTATGATGATCTGTCTGTGCATCAGTTGTGATGTTGATTGGTTCAATGTAATCATTACTTCTCCCCTCTCACAGCAGCTTCAGCTAACATACAGGGCATGGTCCATTTAATTTTGGCCATTGTGGAACTCTAGAGAAGGGAGATAACTGAAATGGAGTACAGCATGATCACATTCCAATGAAATATATATACATTTCCAAATTTGGCATACATAATTGTGTGTGCATGTGCACATCTACAGATATGAGTGCATGTTACATGGATTGCCTGGTTCCACTTACTATGAATGCACAAATGTTAAGGTTGAAATAGGTCTTTTTAAAATGACTCCAGTATGGTGTAGTAATTAGCATGTCAGAGTATGGCTGAGGCAACTCGAATTCAAATCCTTGCTCACCTGTGAGGCTCACTTTGGGCCAGCCCCTGTCTCCTAGCCTAAACTACCCCACAGGTATTGTTGGATGGATAAATAAATAAATAAATATGGGGAGGAGAGCCATTTTGTTCCATTGTGAGTCCTTTGGAGGAAAGGTGGGATATATAACAAATCGAATGAATGAACGTTTGAGAATTGTAATTGGGTGCTAGGGTATAATATATTCATGAATCCATTCTAATTCTGTATATTATTATGATTATTATTAAAAACTTGCTCCTAGTCCATGGCAGGCCGTCAGGGTGGGCCTTGGCTAATTAAATAATATATGGCCATTGGCTAATTAAATATTATATGGCCCTTTAAACTGTGGGTAGAGTATTTTGTTTGTTTGTTACTATGTTGTGTATGTTTGTTACTATGTTGTCATGTGATCCTCACATGAAGGATGGTGTAGAAATTCAATCCATCCGTCTATCTATCTATCATCTATCTATCATCTATCTATCTATCTATCATCTGTCTATCTATCTATCTATCTATCTATCTATCTATCTATCTATCATCTATCTATCATCTATCTATCTATCATCTATCTATCTATCATCTATCTATCTATCTATCTATCTATCTATCTATCTATCTATCTATCTATCTATCATCTATCTATCTATCATCTATCTATCTATCTATCTATCAATCATCTATCTATCTATCTATCATCTATCTATCTATCTATCATCTATCTATCTATCTATCTATCTATCTATCTATCTATCTATCATCTATCTATCTATCTAAAGTCAATCAAGGTTTTCTATCAGGGCCAATCCCCATGGGATCTGGGAAAACTTTCTTTGTTTTATGGCTTCTATTTTACCAACAAGGCTTAATAGTTTCATTCTTAGGCCAAGCTACATAGCTCTAGACTTATTTGCCCCATCATGTTAAATTAGCTGTGTTTGGTTTTCTCCCAAAGGGCCACATCTCCACGTGTGGGTTGGTGCACTTTCTCGGCAAAGTGGAAAAGGACGACAGCGTGATAGTAAAAGTTTTGAAGAAACAGGGGGCAATACCATTTGTGAAGACCAACACTCCCCAAAGCATGATTAAGTATACTTTAGCACACTCTCTTCTTTTGTAATTCCCTGTTGCTTTCTCTTTTTACAAATATACCATAGGACTAAGAAAGAAGAAATAAAAATTGTGAGCAGCTTGGCTTTCTAATGTAGCAAAAAACACTATGGGGGACATTACAGAGATTTGGGGCTTTTTCAGACGGCACTCACCAGAACTCAGTTCTGGCACCTTTCTTTTTTTTTTTTTTAAAATTTTTATTGGTTTTACAAAGTTTTAAAGACAAACAAACACTTAAAAAAACAAAAAAACAAAAAAACATACAAACACGCATAATTTCATATTGTTTCTCATAACCCTCTTTTTTCAGACTCCCCCATACCCCCCCTTTCTGCATCCCAATGTCCATAGTTTTATAGCAACTCCCAATATTACTTTCGAACCTCTGTCCTTAGTTATCTCTATAATCTGACCTTATATCACTGTATCCCTTTGTTTCTGAAAACCATAACATTCTAACATTCATCAAGTTTATAATAGTCCTTAAGATAACTTTTAAATTTTCTCCATTCTTCTTCCGCCGTCTCTTTTCCTTGGTCACGTATTCTGCCTGTCATCTCAGCCAATGACATATAGTCCATCATTTTCATCTGCCATTCTTCCAGAGTGGGTAAATCTTGTGTCTTCCAATACTTTGCGATAAGTATTCTTGCTGCTGTTGTAGCGTACATAAAAAAAGTTCTATCCCTCTTTGGCACCAATTGGCCGACAATGCCCAAGAGAAAGGCCTCTGGTTTTTTAGAGAAGGTACTTTTAAGTACCTTTTTCATTTCATTATAGATCATTTCCCAGAAAGCCTTAATCTTCGGGCATGTCCACCAAAGATGATAGAAGGTACCTTCAGTCTCTTTACATTTCCAACATTTGTTATCGGGCAAATGGTAAATTTTTGCAAGCTTGGCTGGGGTCATGTACCACCTGTAAATCATTTTCATTATGTTTTCTCTTAAGGCATTACATGCCGTAAACTTAACACCGGTGTTCCATAACTGTTCCCAGTCAGCAAACATAATGTCATGACCAATATCTTGTGCCCATTTAATCATAGCTGATTTCACCGTTTCATCCTGTGTATTCCATTTCAACAACAAGTTATACATTCTTGATAAATTCTTAGTATTGGGTTCTAGCAGTTCAATCTCTAGTTTTGATTTTTCCACCTGAAAGCCAATTTTCCTGTCCTGTTTGAAAAGCTCCATTATTTGATAATATTGAAGCCAGTTTTGTACTTTATGTTTCAATTTGTCATAGCTTTGTAATTTCCACTTATCTCCATCCTGTTCCAAAATTTCCCAATACTTCGGCCATCCGACCTCCATATTGAGTTTCTTTACTGCTTTAGCCTCGACTGGTGACACCCATCTAGGGGTTTTGTTTTCCAACAGATCTTTATATCTCATCCATACATTAAACAATGCTTTTCTAACAATGTGATTTTTAAAGGCACTATGCTGCTTAATTTTGTCATACCATAGATATGCATGCCAACCAAAAACATTATTAAAACCTTCCAGATCCAAGATGTCTGTGTTCTCGAGGAGCATCCATTCCTTCAGCCAGCAAAACGCTGCTGCCTCATAGTACAATTTTAAGTCCGGCAGGGCAAAACCCCCTCTTTCTTTAGCATCTGTCAATATTTTAAATTTAATTCTGGGCTTTTTGCCCTGCCAGACAAATTTCGAAATATCTTTCTGCCACCTCTTAAAACATTCCATCTTGTCAAGTATCTGCAAGGTCTGAAACAAAAATAACATTCTAGGCAATACATTCATTTTAATCACTGCAATTCGGCCTAACATTGACAGTTTCAAATTTGACCATATTTCTAGATCTTTTTTAATCTCTGACCAACATTTTTCATAATTATCCTTATACAAATTCATATTTTTAGATGTCAAATAAACCCCTAGATATTTCACCTTCTTAACCACCGTCAACCCTGTCTCCTCCTGGAATTTCTCCTTTTCCATTTCTGTTAAATTTTTACCTAAGACTTTAGTTTTTTGCTTATTCAACTTAAATCCAGCTACCTGGCCAAACTGTTGAATTATTTCTAAAACCTTTTTCGTACTAGTGTTTGGCTCTTGCAGGGTCAATACTAGGTCATCTGCAAATGCTCTTAACTTATAATGTTTAGCTCCGACCTCAGTTCTGGCACCTTTCAGGTGGGTGCCATTGCCATTCTAAGAGAATGAGGAAGCTGTTTATGGCATATTTTCTAGAAAAATAGCACTGCAGAGTTTGATAGATTATGATCAATGTGGGGGAGAGTGATTTGGGAGGAATTATTCTGAAGAGATCTGAGTCATAAATAGGAAGCATCTCTTCACAATTAAGATAGGGAATTTACTTCTATAATATGTCATGGCAGACGAACCCTGCCCCAGCAGCGTCCACTCGCTTAACGAGTAGATAAACTTTTGCCAAGTTAGATCACTGAGCCATTTAGCTCAGTTTGACTACCCGGACTGTAAGTGGTGGGTCTTCAAGGATTCAGACAGGAGTGTTTTACACCCCTACTTGAAGATGCCGGAGATAGAAAGTAGGATCTTTTATATTATTAATGAAATCTGTTCTTTATTCAGAATGAAATTTTGCATTTTTAACTCACCCCATAAAGAGCATTCTCTTCCTGGTGAAGGGGGCAGGGCTTTTGTTATGTACCTCATTGCACTCACATGTGCATCTCCAGTGGGCATAGAGCTGGGATGAAGAACCTGTGGGTTTTGCTGGGCTACAACTCCCATCATCCCTGACTATTGACCATACTAGCTTGGGTGCTGGGAAATGGATTCCAACATGATAGGAAGAGCCATAAGTTCTCTACTCCTTCCCTAAAAGGACGCAAATGAGGTCGTTAACTGGATTTTACCAGAATGCAGGTGGTTGGTGGTATTTTTGAATGCTTCCCACACATCAAATGTTGCATAGCAGGGAGTATGCAAGTTAGAACTTTCCCCCTGGTTGAATAGTTATTTATTTTCAGGTAACTTTTTAATGAACCTTTTTTCAGGTGTGCGGGTTTCCCACAGGCATCTGATTGGCCACTGTGACAATAGGATGCTGGAGTAGATGGGTCATTAGTCAGATCCAGCAAGCTATTCTTAAGTTCTTAATAGTGGCATTCCCCACCCACAGTCAACTCTTAACATTAGGATTCTACCAACTTTTTCTTCAGGATGTGTACATTAGCACTGGTTATTATTATTAAATGAAACTAAATGAATGCTAAATGAAACATCTACATTCAGAGAATATATATCTCAGAATAGGGGACAAGCTATTTCCACTACATCCTTCTTGTGCATTTCTCTGCAGCATCTGAATAACCATGAGTGATTCTGCAAGATGGTTCTTATTTCATTACCTTGCATTAGTCTTCATGATGTCATTCAAACGCATTCCCTGTATTTCTCAATTTTCTGATGCTATTTCCATTCTATTATTTACCTACTGGGCAATATTCAACTTAATAGTTGTGCTATTGGAAGGAATAGTGTTAGCATAATGGAATCCCCCCCCCTCAACCCGGCACATGCTTTTCTCAGTCCACAAATCTGCTCCAGAACCCAGAACAGATTTAGGGGAGGGATTCAGGGGGAACATTTCATTGCACAAGCAGAACTCCTTGTGCTGTTGGAACATATTGTTTAGCTCTGTGTTGGCTGCAACCCATTGTCTCATGCTTTGTTTGAGTATAAGGCATAAAGCTCCTATACATCATTAATGGTCAACCCGCTTTCTATTTCACTCAGCTATGACTGCAGCAACTTAATCTTTGGTCAGACAATCAACCCCCTGAACCACAAGAAAAGTCCTGGTGGTTCCTCTGGAGGGGAAGGGGCACTCATTGCAGGAGGAGGGTCCCTCTTGGGCTTTGGGACAGACGTCGCTGGAAGCATTCAGCTCCCATCAAGTTTCTGTGGGCTTTGTGGACTCAAACCAACTGGTAATCGACTCAGGTGGGTCCTGGAAAGTTCACTCAATTAACTGGTCCTGGGCTGGCAGATAGTCAAACAGGTGAATGCTAATGGAATGTGTTTACCGAGAATTAGTGGGAGATGCTTCATTTGAGCAGAAACAACCAGTGCTTTTTGAATTTGCATATTGAATGTAGGTATTCCTGTAGTTCAGGAGTGGGGAACTTTGAGCCTGGGGATGAAATGTGGGCCTGCTCCCATTACCAGCCCTGCACCGTGTCCCCCTTAATTGCTTTTGGCTGGCTGGAATGCATTTTTTAAAAATGCATTTTTATTCCACAAAATGCAGTGGCTGTTTTACAGAAGCAAAGTCTCCTCCTCCCTCCCCGTACATGCAGCATAATGCCTTGTGTTTGTTGAGATGAAGAGATTTATGTGGGGGGCGGGTATAGAAACTTCTGCCTTTTGTGTGGCTGGACTGTAGCCTATAATACCAAAAGAAGAGTCACATCCATCAGTCCAGTCACTTTTTCCTTCTAACCCTGCCAACCATGGGCCTGTGGCCCCAGGAATGTTGCTCACAAGGGAATGTGGTCCCTGGGGCTGGAAAGGATTTAACACCCTTCCTTGACTGTGATAAATATTCCAATTTTATGCATTCAGAGATAATTGGAGCAAAACTAAGTTTATTGTCATAACTGTTACTGCTACATTTAAATGCCCTGGGCCACTTTAGGAGGAAGAGTGGGATATAAATTTATGTTTCTATTATTCTAATTATAATTGATACATTATACCCTACAATATTATATATTCTTTTTAAGTCAGTACTTTAAATTTTAGTTTATTACATAATTTCTTTGCTATACATTCCTTCACGTTATAGAAGTTGCACCTGGCTGTTTGAAACATGTGATTGTTCTGTTGTTAATATCATGCTACATCTAAAGTCAAACTCAATTCTCTCATGATAATATTTACCATGCCAGCAAATCGTAACTGAATGAATTGTTAACTCCACTGTTGCTGAACTCTAGTATCATTTCTGAATGCCTGAATGTGATTTGCAACTGAAACATGGATCATCTTCTACTGTGTTGATAGTTACAACTCTTTCTCTCTCGTTTGCATCATTCCCAGCACACTTGGTCTTGCTAGCCCTATTGCTGGCATGAAGTCGGGTAAGTAATTTTTACCCATTCAGATTAGTAAAAGAACTTTCAACTATGCTAGGAACTCGCATATCCTTTCAGTGACATTAAAAAAGGTAAAGGTACCCCTGCCCGTACGGGCCAGTCTTGCCAGACTCTGGGGTTGTGCGCCCATCTCACTCAAGAGGCCGGGGGCCAGCGCTGTCCAGAGACACTTCTGGGTCACGTGGCCAGCGTGACAAAGCTGCATCTGGCGAGCCAGCGCAGCACTGAACGCCTTTTACCTTCCTGCTGGTAAGCGGTCCCTATTTATCTACTTGCACATGGGGGTGCTTTCGAACTGCTAGTTTGGCAGGCGCTGGGACCGAGCAACGGGAGCGCACCCTGCCGCGGGGATTCAAACCGCCGACCTTTTGATCGGCAAGCCCTAGGCGCTGAGGCTTTTACCCACAGCACCACCCACGTCCCAATTTCAGTGACATTAGAGTGTATTTAAATAATGTAGTCCCCTTGCTGTAAACCAGGGATAGCAATTGTGGTTGTGGCGATCACACAGGGCCCCCGGACGTTTGACGGTCTATTGACCCTGTGCCACCACTACGGTTGCTTTCTTCGCTGCCACCACCCTGCTTCTCACGGGGACACACGGAGTCCAGACAGTTGTTAACATAAACAAATAATCAAGTTTATTTTTAAGTGTAGGAATAAGTGTATGGTTTCAGTTTATTTTTCTCTTGTCAGTTTCTTAAATCTTAGTTCCTAACAACTTCAAACTGAATTATTCCCAACTATCTATCTAACTCCCTAACAATTCCTCTCACTCTCTCACAAATCAACTCGACCAACCCACTGCCTATTCCACCCTCTTCCTTCTCCAACACCCAAGCCTCAACTCCCAACTGACAAACCTCAACTCCCAAACCTCAACAGTCAACTCCCAAACCTCAACTCTATCTTTTCCTCCCCCCTTGCATTCTCACTGGCCAATCACATCACACCCCTTTTAACCCTTTCCTTGACCCATCTTAGGAGGCAAACGCCACAGTGGTCCTTCTAGATATTTCTGAACTTCAACTTCCATTATCTCACATTGACCATCTGCACGTTGACGATGTTGAATGGGGCTGGTGGGAGCTGGGATCCAGCATCATCTGCTCACCATGTTGATTATCCCTACCAACCAAATCATTAGTATAGTAGCTCTGAACTTAAATAATTGCGTAAAGTTTGAACTTTTGGTAATAAGAGCAGGGATCACAGTGCATCCTATTCAGACTGAAATTCATTGTGTGTCAGTGGAGTTGTGTACTTGACTTAGTGAAAGTGAACTTGGGAATTTTAAGAACAGTTTTTCTGGGTTACACTACTTGTCCATTTAGCCCAGTATTGTCTAAATCCCCTACTATGTGACTATTTTAACTGGAGGTGCCTGTGTTTGAACCTGGGACCTTCTGTTTGTAATGCATGTATTCTACCACTGACCTGTGTGGTTCCTCCCCCTTTCTTGGCTACTGGAATGTAGACTAGGGCATAAAAGTCCACATGCTTTCTCTCCTCCAACTCCTATGTCTCCATTTTTTTTTGCAGTTACAGCAACAATTGGCCCAATGGCAAGGGATGTGGACAGCCTGGTTCTGTGCATGAAGGCGCTCCTGTGTGATGAGTTATTCTCCCTTGATCCTTCAATACCACCTATGCCATTCAGAGAGGAGGTAAGTGGTGTCAGTGAGGAGGGAGAAGCTGAAATATTCAGCACCATGGACAGCACAACCCTTGGTCTACAATGAGACCCTTTCAAATAATTTATACAACGATCATAACACTGAGAATGTATGATCTGATGCAGTTCTGTGTCTGCCAATATTTTGGCCATTTAATTGAATCCTGGTGCATCAATTTCATCATATCAGTTCAAACTCAGCCCGTTAACTGCTCCACAGACCCAGTGTCCCATAGCTTCTTATTATTTTGATCAACTTCAAATACTTTGCAATATTATTCTTGTGGCACATGAAAGATTTGGAAGAAAAGTTTCTGAACCAATTGATTTGTTAGCTAAGCTTTCCTTGGAGGAATATGTAGCAAAACTTCTTACTTGGGATAAATAATCTCCAGCCTCATTTATTGCACTCTCGCTATGTGAAGAACCAGAGATATCCATATAAGACAAATTAATTTCATCCTGCCACAATAGCCTTGCAGTTACTTTTGCCTCCCTTCCTCCAGCTGCTCCAGTTGCTGATTCACAATACTCCAGCATAGATTTCTAGGCTAAATTTGGCAATAGAGTTCCAAATGATTTATCTGAAGCACTGCTGGTCTGTGCTTGTGTGGTAACCATATTAAAACTGTTAAAAGTGCAGGGTCTCCTTTGGTGGAGATTAGCTTCCGGACATTCTTTATCAGCTGAATGCTAAACGCTGAATCAAAACAGCTGTTCTCCCAGCGCTTGTCCTCCAATTAAAATATATGGCTTTTAAGTCCACATAAGAGTAAAACAGATAAAACAGAAATGCTATTTGCTTGTATGTGGCAATTAACATCAACAGCTGAGCCAACTGGCTTTAAAGCTATTCAAAATAAAAATGAATTTAAACAGGCCATGGAGCTCAAGGACACAAGCAGCCTTACTTGTAGCAATCTTCACCTGGAAATCTATAAAACCTTCAAGGCATTCTATATTCTGTCACCTTCCAAAACTTTTGATCAGTGTTGAAGAAGCAGTCCCACTGCAGGGATCCATGATGTGGTTTATAAAAGTGGTTGGAAGCTATTTCTATGCTTCAATGGCCACCTGTAAATAGAAGCTCCTATTTTCTTCATCTTCTTCCAGATATACAGCAGTTCAAAGCCCCTACGGATTGGATACTATGAAGATGATGGCTATTTCCAGCCATCTCCCAGCATGAGGAGGGCTGTTCGGGAAACCAAAAATCTTCTTCAACTCAGAGGGCATACAGTATGTCTGTTTCTTAATTTCTTCACCCAAATTCCATTCTAGGATTTTGTTTGTATCTCTGACACTTTGCCCCAGCTTCTATGGTCATGTGATGAACACTGTCAGATCTACATTGCTTTCAGTTTTTGTTATTGGGTGGGGGAATGAGGCCCAGTTCACACCATGCCTTGTCCATCCAGACATTCTCCTTGCCTTTCCCTGCTATATATTCATGAAAACAAGCACAGTATGTGAACTGGGCAACTGTAAATATATTAGAATTCTTATGTATGCATTTGTATAACAGAAGAGCTGTAAAAATATGCCATTAAAATGCAGTGGTTCCTCGAGTTAAGTACTTAATTCATTCCGGAGGTCCATTCTTAACCTGAAACTGTTCTTAACCTGAAGCACCACTTTAGCTAATGGGGCCTTCTGCTGCCACCGTGCTGCCGGAGCACAATTTCTATTCTCATCCTGAAGCAATGTTCTTAACCTGAGGTACTATTTCTGGGTTAGCGGAGTCTGTAACCTGAAGCGTATGTAACCTGAAGTGTATGTAACCCGAGGTAGCACTGTATGCCATTTCTCTACAGTTAGGAATTCTGTGCAGGAAAAATGCTTGTATACTGTCATGCTCGATGAACATGAATATCTTTCACCACATGTGCACACTTGGTTCTAACACATATTTAGTTGCTCACATGGATACACAGTTTTATACACAGAGAGTATGGAAACCTCCTATGTGGGAAATTTATTGCACATACAGTGGCCTTAATATCAACATACCTGTAGTTTTGGAAACTAATCCACACAACTCAACAAACCTATGCAAGTGCTAGAGAGTACATTCCCATAAGAAACGGCTGCTAATCCTGGTCCTCAGAATGTATCTGCGTGACATTTTGTTTAAACACTTGTTTGTGGTGGTTAAAATTTATCTGGGGTATACATGAAGAACATAATAGGCCCAGGGCTTATCATTTCTGGGGCAAATTAGCTGCAAAATAAGGAGAGAGCATAGAAAATTTCCATTCCTGTTGCACTTCTACCACCCAACCCTTTACTAGAACTTTGCTTCATTTTCCTCAACACTTTCAGAGAGCTCTCTGAATCTATTAAAGAGTGGGGTGGATTACATAATCCTTATGTGCAGCTCATATAATTTTGCCTGCTGTCAAATAAAAGCTGTTATCTTTTCCTCGCAGCTCATCCCCTTTGTTCCTCCTCGGCTTAATTATGTGGTTGATGAGCTCTACACCAAAGGCCTATTTTCCGATGGATGTGCAAATTTGCTGGACAAGTTGTAAGTAGACGTTCTGGTATGTGAACATGGCTGTTGCTTGATAACATTGCTATTATGGCCATGCATTGGAAAAGCCCAGGATAGCTTTTGTGATAATAATTGACACATTAATAAATAACAGATTTTCCTCAGAGTATGTTTAATGCTAGGGAAAACTCAGGGATAGGAAAAGTTCATTTTGTTAAAAGTCTTAGATAATGAAGAGTACCATGCAAAACACATAGCCAAATGGAGCCAAGAGGATAAACTAACTTTGGCTTCACAAACTTTGCAATATAAGAAGTTAGGCAGCCATGAGCTATAACACTGAATGAGGCTATTAATTCCTCTAAGTCAGTGCTACTGGCAAAGACTACCCAAGGTAACAGAGGTCTTTTCACAGGCTTGCTACCTGAGCACTTTTTCAACGTAGATATCAGGGCTGAACTTTGGTTTTGTTGTGTGCAAAGCAGGTGAGCTATGAAACTATCTGTAAGCTAGGAAATCAGAAAGGCATCATTCCAAGTTTATTCTCACCTGGAATTCTCAGGAACCTAAATTCTTTCCCAGGTTAAGCAATGCAACTTCAGATATAAAAACTGAAAAACTTGATTTTCTTCTTCTTTCATCTTCCAGCAAAGGAGACATTGTGGACTCAAATTTGAAATCCCAGATTAATTGTTATCGTCTTCCCATTCTAGTGAAGAGAATTTTTGCATTCCTCTTGAAACCTATAGTAAGTATTTGGCTCCTTTGTTTCACTGCAACTGCACATGCTTTAAGATGCTGACAAGCATAGGGTAGGATGGCTGGATAGAGTAAGGTGAATACACGTCAAAGAGATGGTGAAGTGACTGCTCTGTACAGTGATACCTCTAGATACAAACTTAATTCGTTCTGGAGGTCTGTTCTTAACCTGAAACTGTTCTTAACCAGAGGCGTGTTTTCGCTAGTGGGGCCTCTTGCTGCCACTGTGCCGCCGGCACAAGATTTCCGTTCTCATCCTGGGGCAAAGTTCTCAACTCGAGGTAACTCTTCCAGGTTAGCGGAGTTTGTAACCTGAAGCGTTTGTAACTCGAGGTACCACTGTATTCAACACCAATGATGTGATTGTTGGGGATTCACAATGAAACTAAGCTTGTGTTTCTCTCCAGTACCCTCGGATTGCCAGAGATCTCAATGCACTATGTGGAGTTGGGTAAGAAACACCTGGTTTAAAGATTATCATTGGTGACATTAGCCTTGGGGGTAATCTGTTTGGGGGGGCACATGCAACTGCGGGTATTTTTCTTGCCATTTCCTTCCTCTTCCTCTTCCAACACCCTCTTCTATCCTGCTTCCTCTTTGCCCAGCAGACTGCCAGGGAAGAGACAGATTTGCTCTTCTCAGAGGACGGAACTGATCACTTGCAGACAGTATTTGAAATTAGGCTGAGGTTCAAATAAAGTTATTCCAAGGATCATGTGCAGCCCTTGGGCCACAGGTTGTCCACTTCTCTTGTAAAACCTTCATCACCTTCCAGCAGCAATGGGGATGCTTCGCCCCTCCAGATGTAGCTGGACTGCAACTCTTGTTATTCCTGACCATTGGACATGCTGGTTGGGTCTGATGGGAGTTGGGATCTAATGACATCTGGTGGGCTGCAGGTTCCCTATCGCTGCCTTTCAGGAAGCACAGATGGAAGGGAGAGTGTAGTACCCAGCAAAAGGACTGTATGTTGGCAACTTTGCTCTAGTCACATAGGAATGCTGTCTGTAAGGAAATCTGGATGCTTTCAGGTCCCATTTATCTCTATACTTTGGCAGGCAACTTTAAGGTTAATGCAATATGCATATAGCTTCGGTGCTATTCTGCTATGCCTTTCATATGACAGCAGGCATCTTTGGGAGGCTGCAAAGCGTTGCAGAGGCCATGAGGCACAAAGCAGGAGAGTCTGGTTCCTCATCCCTTCCAGTCCCACAGAGTGATTGACTGAGTCCTCTTTTAATCTCTTATGAAGAGCTTGATTGTGAATTACCACATAGCCAACAAACATTAACCAGCACAGGGTGGGCGGCATCCCATTTTTGTACACTGTTGCAGAGCCACAGTGGAACCACCCCATTCCCCCCCACACACTCATGCCGACATACTTTAAGCAGCACTCTTGAGTACTCCTCTTTCTGCTAGGCAGTCATCTCTTCATTATTTCCAATGTTGCAGGTCAGCAAAAAACCTATGGAACCACCATGTGGCAGCAGCGGTGAGTTTATGTTTACGACTAAGGCTTCATACAATAACTAGTTTGCCATCTAATCTTGTCCAGTGAGCTATGCATACATGGATGTTCAACAGATGCTATTTTTTTGACACAGAATGGATTTCCATGTAAGACTGATACTATACAAAACAGCTCTATGAGTTGCTTCACCTGAGATCTTTTGTATTTGGCTGTTAACAGAAGCACCACATTTTAAACTCAGATATGAAGGGCAGGGGGTCTGTTTTCTATTTCACTTCTAAAATGCATTAAGAGACCCTTCATACTTGATGGGTAGTGTGTGTATTTTCTACTGGGGCATTGTTTGTGGGCTGTGGCAGACTCTGCCTTTTTAGAAGAGACCTTGTTCCATTATCAGCTACAATGCTTATACCCCAGCTGGATCACTGAGGTAATCTGTAGAAGCATCATCTCTTGCCCCCCAAATTGGTGAGACTTATTTGACAAGAAACTGAGCCCTTCAGAGTTGTTTGCCTACTCTTGTGGCATGCTCCTCCAGTAGAGAGGTGGCTTCTGTCTTGACTTTCAAGGGTTTGCTAAAGTTGTTTCTTTGCTGCCAGACTTAAGCAGAAGCTTACAGATAATAAGATAATTCTGTTAAAGGCATCTCTTTTTGGATTGTTCTTGTGGTATTTTAATTGCTGTAAACCACTTTGGTATTTTTTGTGGGTATTAATATTTTCATAAATAATAAATAGAACAAAGGTGGCAATCTAGTCATTGCAATAACAAAGTTTCTGTGTGCTCACAATTTCTCTTGCTTCCAGCTTTAACAACATTCTCTTTACAGATGTATCGTGAAGAATTCCTTGCCGAATGGAGGAAACTGAAACTGGATGTCATCCTCTGCCCTGCTTTGGGTCCAGCATTTAATCACGGCTATCCTGGGAAACTATTTGGTATTATCTGTGTCCCAGTAATGTCTACTGTGTGTGACATGTGGCCTCCCCGCCTTTCCATAGCAGTAACATAAATTCTTGTCTGTTTCTCAACTCCCTTTGTATCTTCCTACATGCCAAAAACATACTTAGCTCAAGATGACCAAGGGGTCGAAATGTATGAATGTGGGGCCTTTTGGTGAAGGCTACAAGTGTAAATAATAAATAGATACACATGTCAAATAAGAGAATTGACTGGAAGCATATCGTGAAGTTGAGCAGTTCACTCATGGACCTGTGAGCAGTTTGGCTCAGGCTGATTGGGGCTGATGCGAGTTGTAGTCCAACAACATCAGGAGGGCACCATGCTGGCTTGTTTTGCCTCTGATTTCGGCTTAACTTAAATGGGGGGAAATCCCAGTTAGCTATGGTTTCCCTCCAGAGTAGTTCTAAACAACAGCAAACATCTTGCTGAAATTAAAAACAAAAGCAAAAACCCAGGTCACATTATTTATAGCTTTTCTGTACTTTCAGCTGCTACATCCTACACCAATTTATACAACCTCCTGAACTTTCCTGCTGGAGTTGTGCCAGTCACCACTGTTTCCCAAGCTGATGAAGAAGAGCTCAAACACTACACAGGGCATTATGGTGACCCTTGGGACAAGCGCATGAAAGAGGTCGGCACACATTTACCAGAAAAAACCCACCTGCCTTTTCCCAGTCCTCATGCTACCTAACTATACCTTGAAGCTTTCTAATGCTGTTGTGTTGTCCTGTCTTTTTGCCCCTCCATTTTCAGGCTGTCAGCGATGCTGTTGGGCTCCCTGTGGCTGTCCAGTGTGTGGCTGTGTGTTGGCAAGAGGAGCTGTGTCTTCGGTTCATGAAGGAGGTGGAGACTCTTGTTCGTGAGAGGAGAACTCCCAAATGATTATAGCATCAATACTAATGGAACAATGCAACCTATCACAGTGAGGGTTAGAACATCTCCAAGTTCACTTCTGAAATATTTTAAAATGCAGGTTAAGGCGTGGTTATTTGTGAAATCCAACATCCTACTCAGCGGGAGGCTATTTATGACTAAGGCCTAGTTCTCACAAACAGCAGAAGTCGTGCTTGCACTGTACTACTTCAAATTGTACATGATCAAATGTTTCTATATTCAGAATATACTCTCATGTATAGAATACAGCAACCTCATACTCTGCATTATTCAGGAATTGTAAGCAACCCAAAAATCAGTTAAGCTTTCATAGGTTGAGTCCACCATCTTGATTCAAAATGGCATATAATTGAAATGAAGCATAAGCAAAAATCAGTTACTGATTTCAGGAACGATTATGCACAATTTGGTTATGATATATCTTAAGTGTTGTCCAAATGCCTAGTGAACAAACAACTTCTCAAGTTACAGACTAGCATATCAAGGGGAAAGCTAGGCTAGACTCCCACAGAGCAAATGAGAACTTTTGTTCCTGAGATTAATGGCAGCAAGAAAGATTATTTTTTAGGGATGTGCAGGGAAAGAAAAGGTTCTTCTCCTTCACTTGATGCCCAATAGTAAGTGGCTTCCCACTGTGTCTACTTTCAATTAAGGAAAAAAGCTAGAGTTACATCTTGTTCGGACCTCGTGTTGTGATTAAAATGCGTTTTGTATTCTTTAAACATGGTTCTAGTAAGACGGCCACCCTAATAAAGCAGCAGCACCAGGGACAACTTGTGTATTGGGCTACCTAGTAAGACAATGCTTGTTAGAGGCATCTGTGCTTGTGATATAGCCATTCTTTATTACAATGATATAAACCTCTTAATTCTACCCTATCTTTTCATCTTAAAGTTAAGTGTATGTAACTCAGATAGACTGAAAATTAGTAGCTCCCTTGATATCAAGGCCAAATATCCTTAGCAACTGCTTGGTGACCACATATCAGAATAGACACATTTGTGTGGATGGTGTTTGCTTTTGGAAGCCAAGAACAAAGATTCAGGGTGGGGCTTGAAGGTGTGAGGTGTGAAGATCAACCTGGAATTATGGTGCAAGCAATTTGGACTTCGCTACTTACTCTGGGCCTACTGGCTTCTTCCATTGATGTGAAGAGGAAAACATTGAGGTAAACCTGGATTTTAGCAATGGATTCTGGAAATGGATAGTGCTGTATCCTAATCTATACAATCAGACTTCTCTCTTTGTTCCAATTTGGAGAAGGCTACACAGTGAAGTACCAAAGACCCAACACCTGCCTGCAGGCACCTCCATCTCCCACACCTCACCTTCTTCCTATTTTTGCTTGACACAGTGATCAGCCCATCCTTGGTATGTGTGTGGATTTGGGTTAGTCTGCTTAGGTAGCATAACTCCTATCCAATTTCTATTTGCGTTTTTCCCAGGGTAACGTTCCATAAGGGAGGGAATGCCGCTCACGTGAGCAGCGTTGCCCCCCACCAAAGGCCCTCGCAAGCTGGTGCCTCTCTACCTACTATCGGTTCCCCTCCGAAATATTTCTTCACATGCCACTGCGCATGGTCTATTTTCCATTCTGCTTCTAAAATGCACTAAGGGACTCTTACTTTTCTACTGGGATATTGCTTTGAGACTGTTCACTCTTCAGAATCAGCCACAAGGTGGCAATGTAACCATCCTAAAAAACCACAAAGTTTATGGGTGTCTAGAATCTCTTTCTTACTTGCAGCTTCACCAAAAATTTCTTCACAGACTTACTGTGCAGAGTTCTTTGCCAAAGGAGGAAACTGAAACTGGGTGTCATCCTCTGCCCTGCTCTGGACCCATCTTTTAAAGAAGGCTATCCTGGGAAATTGTTTATCTGTGTGATGCCCACTGTGTGGGATGTGTGGCTTCCTACCCATTCCATAGCAGTGGCCGGCATTCCTCTCTGTCTCCCATGCCACTTCATAACTTTCCACATTCAAAGCTATGGGCTTAGTTTGAGATCACCAAGGTGCAGAAGTGGACAGATGTGGGAGTACAATGAAGAAAATTGATAAATGCATCAAGTATAAGAGAATTAACTGGAGGTGTATTGTGAAGTTGAGCAGTTCACATAGGGACCTGTGGGCAGCTGGGCGCTATTTACATTTTTAGAAAGGTAGTTGCTACTAGTTTGCTTCTTTCTTTCTTTCTCCGTTGTTTCTATTGCAGGTGGCATCAGTTAGTGAAACAAGGAGGTAATTTAATTTAACCCCCCCTTGCCGAATGGGCCAAAATTGGGGAGCTGCTGGAAACACCCTAAACTGTAATCATACGACTGCCAGATGATGCTGGACTCCCCCAGCCCAGGCCAGCTTGGCCAGTGATCAAGGTGTGGGGATGTTAAGGACTGTAGGAAAGGATATATTTAATAAGTATTATCCTTCCTTCACTCATGCTAGTAAGTGATGTAGCAGAGCAGATTCCCCTCAATATAGCTGGAAGCTAGTTTGCAGATTTGTTTGAATCTCTTAGTTAAGATTATTTTCTGGTGTCCCCTTTTATCCTTCCTAAAAGAATAAAGACTCAAGAGTCTTTCTGAGTAAAGTAACAAAAAGTTTACTCACATTTCAGTTCACTATTTGATCCCTGAAAGGCAGACTTTACTTGGTAGTTACACAAAGAAACTGTGTGGGTTCATGTCATAGGGAGACTGAACTCGCATGCTGCTGGCTGAGAGCCAGCAGACCGCAAAATTACATGAAGACAACAAAATGGCTGCAGGAGAGCAGCATGGCTGCAAAAGATAGAACAAGAAAACACTGGAGCAAGGCAACTTCAAGACTGAGAAAATGGCTGCAAGACTTGGCTCTTTTTATGGAGTCAGCCAGAGCCACACTCATCTCCCAGATCACACACAGGTGGAGGAAGCTCCAGACCAGTGGAACAGGAAGTTACACTGACTGGATGTCCCTGTGTCCACTCTAGGGAAATAAGGAAAGTTGCATTTAACTGTACCAATGGATTACATCCCACACAAGGATGATGGGTGTTGTGGTACAGTAGCATCTGGAGGGCCAAAGGTCAACCATTCCTGCTGTCTATGGCTGGTCAAATCTTTATCCTTGGATGCATTTCTATCTGGGGAAAAAGAAGATGCAATTTTTAGAGCAAAGTATGGATGTACATAGGTCAAAGTCTTCTGTTGCCTTCTCTTACAGTAGGAGCAGTCAGTATGGTGTCCCCCTGATGTTGTTTAGTTTCAGCTCTCAAAATATACTGTTTAACTGTGCTATAGTGTAACAGTTCTTAGAGGAGAAACTACAGAAGCGGTGATAACTATAGAAGCAAAAACAACAAGGAATTTAAGCCTTTAAGGTGGCACAAAAATCTTTGATGCAGAATACTGGAAGTGAAAAGAATATAAAGCCAATGTGGATGTTGGCAATTTTTGTCAACACTGTGCTTAATCATGTAATTTTGCTGGACGACCACAGTCAAAGGAGCTCTTAACATACCTTTAAACCAGTTAATGTTTTGGGGGAAAAGGCATTAACTTTTGTATTTCATGGCTATGGAAAATTGTTTTTTCTTAGTTATGTGCAAAATACTATAAAATAAAAATCCATCATGAGCACCAGCAAAATATTCCTTGTATTCAGGACTTTCAGCCCAAGATGCCAAACTGTCCTCCTTCACCTCTCTGCAGTAAGATGACTAAACTATTTCAATTATGTTTAAATAGGCTTGTTAAAAGAAACACTTTTGGAATCCATTAAATCTTATCTCTGGATCAGCAAAATGTTTTCCTTTCCTGCATTTAAAAGTTATATACCAAAGAGCAAAATATGTGGTGGGGGAGAGACTTGCCAAGGCAGGAGGGAAGTACAAAGAAGTCTCTTATCTCACTAGGTAGTAGGTACAATGCCTGACCAACTTATTCCACTAAATTGGATATGTGATTTTAAAAAAATAAAAAATAAAATGTTGTTCCCAAGCACAGTGAAATTTCTCTTCTGGAAGTCTCTTGGAAAGATTAGACTGCCTATTTTGAATAAATATGTGAAATTCAGCTTTACTAATCTTTCCACATCCCTTCTCACCACTGGCTCACATTCCACATGTCGCTATGATGCAGGGTTTTCTCAATCTCTGATTTCATCACCAGGCTGGCCCATGCATACCAAGAACAGGGCGGGTGATTGAACGGCAAGGGGCTCCATGTGGGCAAGAGGCTGGGCACTGGGCACTGTTCCCTTTTAAAAGGGAGAGGTGGTCCTGGTCCTTCCCAGCCCCCCTCCCCCCGCTCACCTGATTGGCTGTCTGGGAATCTGGTTTTTGCAGCGGGAAATGCACAGCCAGATTGGGAGGTCTTGCACACACACAAACAGTTGTGCGATGTGATCCCTCATCCCCCTGACTCCTGGGCCACTGCATGTTGCTCCATGAAGCAAATGGTGGCCCCACAAAGATACAGCAAGCCTATGTTGTAAGTAAAACATTTTAAACTTACTTAGCATTATGTGCTCTGTTCATTGCAAGAGGTACAGAAAGAGGGGAGAGTTGCTACAGACTAAATGATATCTGAAAAGCCTATATTCCCAAATTATATGACTGCTTGAGTTTTGTGAGTTTGAACTCTGCGATTGGGGGCTCTCTCCTGCTGGAGTGAGTGAGTTTAGCCCTGCATTTTGAATCCAGGCAGCCAGGGGATCATTTTGTTATTTACCCGACACATATGGGTCACAGGGTTTCATATCCCCCCACCCCAATATGGAGATTCTGGTAACAGTTTGCCATACCTCAATTTAGGCCCCACCTGCACCCTACATTTAAAGCAGCATGAACAACCCCTTTCCCCAGGGATCTCTGGGAACTGTAACTTGTGAAGGGTGCTGAGAGACCCCATTCCCCACACCAAACTACATTTCTCCGGATTTCAGGATTATTTAAACCTCTCTGAGAATTGCAGCTCTGGTTCAGTAAATCTAGATTAGATTAATGCAATGTTATATGGGGCTGCCTCTGAAGACAGTTCAGAAACTTCAGCTGGTACAGAATTCAGTGGCCAAGTTGCTCATTGGGATAAGATGGTTTGAACATATTGCACCAATCCTAGCCCAACTGCATTGGACGCCAATTAGTTTCTAGGCCCAATTCAAAGTACAGTGGTATCTCGGATTAAGAACTTAATTCATTCCGGGGGTCCGTTCTTAACCCGAAACTGTTCTTAACCTGAAGCACCACTTTAGCTAATGGGGCCTCCTGCTGCTGCTGCGCCGCTGGAGCACGATTTCTGTTCTCATCCTGAAGCAAAGTTCTTAACCTGAGGTATACTATTTTGGGGTTAGCGGTGTCTGTAACCTGAAGCGTATGTAACCTGAGGTACCACTGTAGTTGTTTTAAAGCCACCCTGTGATCATAATCTGAGGCCCTTTTTCGTGTTTCTCTTCGCAGGATGTCTGGACAGCGGCAACACGAGTGTGGGCCTTTTCTGTGGTGGCTCCCTGCTTGTGGAATGCTCTCCCCGGGGAGGCTTGTCTGGTGCCTTTGTTGCATATTTTTAGGTGCCAGGCAAAAACAGTCCTCTTCTCCCAAGCATTGGCTAATTAAACAATCTATGGCCTCTTAAACTGTGTGTGGGGGTTATTGTTTTTGTTTATTATTATTAGTATGTATGTATTTTTATATTGTAAACCACTCTGTGATCTTCAGAAGTAAGTAAGTAAGTAAGTAAGTAAGTAAGTAAGTAAGTAAATCCATCAATTCATCCATCCATCCATCCATCCATCCATCCATCCATCCATCCATTCCCCAGATGTGCCTCTTAGCTTATCTAGAGTCCATTTGTGACAGTTCCTAAAACTGCAGCCAGCTATCATTTGGCACATATAGATTTTCATCACATGTTGCCCTGGAAGTTAATTTCACTTGCTCACGATCTTATTTGATGAGTTGGGCTTGATGTCCTCTACTACCCTGCAATTGTCTCCCTCATGCTCACACACCCCTGGGAAGATGATAAGGTGTGTTTTTTTTAATAAAATAAAAACAAACAAACCCTAGAATATGGAAAGGAACAGGTGGATCTTGTACTGCTAAGATTAAGAGCTCAGAAGAATGTCGGAATGTTTGGGAGGATTCACTGACGATTGGCAAATGACGTGGAGTCTCTGTCAATCAGTGCCTGGCTATGCTAGTGAGACACTTTCCTAAACTTTCTTCAGTCCTAGACGCACAAGCTTCTGTTTCCCAGTGGCTTGGAACTGATAGCTCCTGGGTGGGATTAAAATTCACCACCTCCTTCCCTTCCTTGCCGTCTTTGCTATTAGGAACTCGCAGCTCTAGCAGCTCTCCCTGGTTGAGAGCTGTGAGCAGATTTCCCACTATGGCTCTAGACAAAGTGAAATCTCTCTTGCCTGATGAAAGGGTGGATGTCCGCATTGTCTCAGCTGTGCTCTGTGGTTCAGCCACTGCAATCTTGGTGGTAAAATGGGTGAATCAGAGGCGGGTGCAGAAGAAACTTGAAGAGGCCAAGGGCAAGCGAGAGCTTGGCTTTCAACGTATGGAGAAAGCAGCAAGACAGTTTAAACAACAGGTGAATATATTTTAGAGGTTTCATTTCACTTGGATGAAAGGTTTTTTTTCTTTGTATCAAAATTTCAGTGGGTCTCTTCTGGTACTCTCTGCAGAGATGCTGTTGATTGCTGAGGTTTGCAAAAGTGCTAATAGCATGAAAGGTGGCAATAATTTCTAGGTAGTCTTACAGTGATGACAAAATACTTTCCCAATATGTGTATGTTGAATTTAACATGATTGCTCTTCCTCTGAAAGCTCTGCTTTCCTATAAATCTAGTAGGATGGTGCAGTCCATGCTTTCTCTGTTTCCTTCAGCTAAGATTATTATGGGAGCGCGCCCCCCCCCCCCCCGATTTATGCACCCTATCTAACTTTAGGAACTTGCTGAAACTGAGGCAAACCTTGTGTCATGGAAAAGAGGGTATAAAGTTGCTTTCCTTTTTTCCTCCTGCTGCATTTCCACTGGCAGCCTGAATGCAGCTGTCCCTGGCTGCGTTATTAGCAGACTGTTAACAAATCACCTGTCATTAAAGAAAAGATACTTGAGCCTAAGGATTGCTTGGCAATTGCTGGTGCCTGTCAAGGCCATTGCTGCACTTTCATGCTAGGGCCTGGTATGTCTCTGGATAGAAGGAGCAACTCCTTCCCACTAGTCTCTCATTTTGCACAGGGGTGGGTGAAGAGAGTCATGTTCCCAGAGAGAACTTTGGCCATATCTATATAGCACTTTATTCCGTCTTCACAATGGTTCCTTACCTGTTCATTTTCACATTGTATGGGATCTTTCATGCAATGTAAAAGCTATGCGTGGAAATCTAGTGGAATCTACTGGAGGTCCTCTTGCAACCTCATTAACTTAGAAAACAATGGGAGTTGCATTGACAAAACTTGGGGCAGTATACCAGCATACAGTTATTTCCCATCATTTCTAATTTAGTGTGCCATGGTGGTATATTGAACAAAAAGCCACAGTTGCATAACACAACAAGGCATCACAGTATAAAATGAATGCTATAAATTGCATTACAACCAGTAAATCTAACACAATAATCCTCATATCTGACTGCAGACTTACAATGTCCATTGTTAGCTTTAACTCTTTCTACTTGCACTTTGTGGAAATACAGCCCAGAACTCTCTTTGGATGCAGAGGGCATCTGTCACCATATATTTACCTCTTTGGAGAAACTGTTCCAACCTACAGGCTCTGCTTGTGATACAGAACTGTTTCAAAACTCTTGGTGACCACAGTGCAGAGGAGAAGAAGTGTGTAATTGGTTGAAATCAATATTTTTAAGTCAATATTTCAAATTCAAAATTTTCTTGTTCAGTTGTATCATCTTTTTAAGGATATCTTAGCTGTCAGATACAGTCACATATAAAATATCTCTGTGACTTGCCATGCAAAGCAGGGTGGAGATCAATTTAGCTGCTAAAGCCTGGGGTCAGTACCCATTCCTGGTCATCAGTGAGCTGTTATTTTGCTACTAATTAGATATATAATCATTGAGCTGCATGTGATGCTGCTGCTGACTGACCAATCTGTAGCCTGCTTTGCATGTCTGAAAGTGCAATGTGTCCACAATGCTGTGTAGCAATGTTGGTCTAGCAAGCGAATGCACATGACATAGCAGTTTGCCAGCAATGTGTTTGCTCCCTGCTGCAGAACCCAGGAGTGAAAGCTGCTCCAATCCTAGCTCTTCCCCTTGTGGAACTGTCTGCAAAGTTGAAAGATGGCTCGTTGTCTCCAGAAAGTGTTCTCTACACCTACATGGAAAAGGTAAGACTGCCTGGGGGTAAATCACAGCTGTCCATGGAGGCACAGGTCAATTCTTTGTCCAGGCAGCTGTTTACCAGCTCCATCTGGTACGCAGGCTGAGACTCTTACCTGCCTGTAGACTGTCTCGCCAGAGTGGTGCATGTCCTGGTTATCTCCTGCTTGAACTATTGCAATGCACTCTATATGGGGCTACCTTTAAAGGTGACTCGGAAACTACAACTAATCCAGAAGACTGGTGACTGGGAGTGGCCACTGAGACCATATAACACTGGTCCTGAAAGACCTACATTGGCTCCCAGTTTGTTTCCGAGCACAATTCAAAGTGTTGGTGCTGATCTTTAAAGCCCGAAACGGCCTCAGCCCAGTATACCTGAAGGAGCGTCTCCATCCCCATCATTCTGCCTGGACACTGAGGTCCAGCGCAGAGGGCCTTCTGGTGGTTCCCTCAATGTGAGAAGTGAAGTTACAGGGAACCAGGCAGAGGGCCTTCTCGGTGGTGGCACCCACCCTGTGGAACACACTCCCATCAGATGTCAAGGAAATAAACAACCATCTGACTTTTAGAAGACATCTGAAGGCAGCCCTGTTTAGGGAAGTTTTTAAGGATTGATGTTTTAATTACCGTATGTTTTTAGATATGCTGTAAGCCACCCAGAGTGGCTGGGGAAGCCCAGCCAGATGGGCGGGCTATAAATAATAAAATTATTATTATTATTATTACTTAAGGAGTGAAGGATACATACCGTGCAAACTCAAAAGTGACACAGTACAAATGAGTTGTGTCTCTCAGCATAATGGCTCTTGTGCTCATTTTAAGGCACTGATGTGCAATATGCTAGCTGAAATACAGCTGTTCTTCAAAATGTGCAGTTTTGTGTGCAATTCTCCAGCCAAATAATGTGTCCCAAAATGCACATGGTGCAAAGAAATGCTCTGTTTTTTGTGCAAAAAAGTGCATATGTTAGTGGGGAGAGAAAACACAAAAATACATTATAGAAGGGGAAATGGCTCTGCAAATATGTGCCCATTAGGCAAAACTGCATACAAATATATGAATATTAGGAAAAATTCACACTGAGGAGGATGTTTGTTTTTTTAAAAAATTGCAAACTGATGTGAACTTCAGATTGGAAAAATGACCTAGTGAGAGAAACTAAAACTGACAAATTCACCCATCCCTACTTACACATTACTGGTCTAATATGTTTGAATTAAGATGATTTAGCTCACAGAATAATTTTGAATTTTAATTAAAAAAAATTAAAAGTCTCCACCATTTTTGCTCTTTAGACCAAATAAACAAGACACTATTCCCTTATCCCAAAGTTCTTGTATCCTCTACACACACACACACACACACACACACACACACAAGCTACGGTAATTCAAATCCAGCTCCAAGAAAAGTCAAATTTTGCAAACTGCACTATTTGTGCTAACAGCGCATCTAGGCCTGTCACAGTTACAGGTTTAATGGGAGAGTTTACTATCTTCCTGCCCACCCCACCCTGCGTCTAGGGCATGTAATGGGCTCAGGCCTTTCATATACCATATGATCTGTGTAGTTATTTTCAGCCGCGATAGATTTATTATGGTCCCTAGCAGCTAAGCTACAAGGGATTTCCATTTTTGGAGCGACTTGGATTTCAGGCTTCTAGGGAGGAGAGCAGGGGCTTCGCTAAGTGGATCGAGTGAATGCGGCGCCTTCTTGGCAGCTGGAAGATGCCAGCTGCAGAAGTGTATGCAATCTTGTGTGGTGCTGAGAATAGGTAGTGGATCCGTCCTCAAATAGAGTGGTTTGTTTGGGTGTTTCTGTATACATTGCTTTTCGACACCTGGTAACCCCAAAGCGGTTTCTGTAACAACAGCTGAAACCAACCAGGTCCTAATAGGATCAGCATATATCCAGTTTCGACACAGTGAACTTATAGGTGAACCCTAAGCTACAAATGGAAGTTGGAACACACCCTTTTGCTGCAGTTTTCTTCTAGCATGCTTGTCTTGCATAATGATCACAGATAAAACACTGCATTTGCAAGGTGGAAAAGAGACCTTGACAACATGAGCAGTCAAGAAGAGAGCATATTGTCACAAATTTGCCTTCTTCTCCCCCTGTTTTGTTTCTTGCTCACGCAAAGGCCTTGGAGGTAACCCGGCAAATCAACTGTGTGACCAACTTCCTTCCAGAGTGTGAGGAACAGCTCCGGGAGACCAAAAAAAAGGAGAAAGGATTGCTCTATGGAGTCCCAGTCAGTATTAAGGAAGATGTGGCCTGCAAGGTACTTTCTGCCATGATCCCTGAATAATTGCAATGAGGGTAAGATGAGGAGGGCTCTGCAACAGAGTAAGCTTGTGAATTTAAAGCCAAGAGGAATATGTATATTTTTATATTTCTATTTGCTTATATAATATGATTAAATCAGCCATGTGGGTCACCAGCTGGGGGGCGGGTGCCCCTATGCTTTGCTCACCTACAGTGGAACTGCTCCTCTCCCATAAGCATCACAAATTTTACCATTAGTTATGGGCATCTGCATGGAGGGAAAGTCAAAGGAGAGGGCAAGCTAATTTCTCACGCTATTTGTGTTATATTTAAAGTTCTACAAATGCTTCTTAGACTAACCTAATTCCCTCTAAATATATGCATGAATTCACTCTTAAGTGAAATTTGATGATATTACCTAATGACTGGAGGGACTGTGGTTGTTTTCTTTAAAATAAATGTCACCTCTACATTCTCATCTAATGTTTTGGGTGGTTTTTTTGGGATATGGTCAACAGATGTAAGGATAAGTATCTCACTTTATTTCTCTAATTCCAGGGGTACCCCAATACACTTGGCTTGGTGAAATTTCTAGACCGTCCTGAGCAGGAGGACTCTGTGATAGTCAAAGTTTTAAAGAAACAAGGGGCAATTCCATTTGTAAAGACCAACCTTTCACAGGCCATAGTGAAGTACGTGTGTGTTTCTTTCATTTGTTTAATTCTTCAAGGCAGCAGCTGGGCCTTAGCAGTCTAGGTAAATAATGGCAGTTTTGGTGGCTCTACAGCAACTGAAAACACAGAAAATAAGGAGGTCGACCTTTTCCTATCACTTTATCCCCATGCCAGGAAATGATGCACCCGGTAGATCACAGCTAGGTGCCATACAGACACAGTTTGACTCTCACTCAACAGGAAGAAATCCAAGTCAGGCTTCATGATAGAGTTGGGAGACCTGAGGAGCTACAGATGGTTCTGGACTCCCATCAACCCCAGCCAGCATGGCCAGTGGTCAAGGGATTATGGGAGTTTCAGCTGAACAACATCTGGTGGGCCACAGGTTCCCATCCCTGCTTTTTAGGGTTATTTTTCTAGGCAGAAAGGAGAGAAGTTTGAAGAACTACAGTGTGTTTGTGAAGATCAATTTCCAAGTGTTATCTCAGTACATGGTTTACTGCTTTCATGGCAAAGAACTGGTTGAGGCCCCCGAATCCAAGAAACCCAAAGCATGCTGGGCTGCTTCTTCAAGCCAATCTTTCTAGATGCTAGAATTGAACAGATAAGAACAGACTGTACAAAGCACTTCTTCACTCCAACACTTACATAAGAATGCAACTCAGCATTTTGGCTAATCTACTTTATTTACATATAAACACACATGGAACACTGCAACATGGCTCCCTCCCTATCTAGCATCAGACAGCAAAGAGAAAGAACAAAGGACAATGGTCCCACTTCACGGAACACAGTAACACAAACATCCTGTCTCTGTCACTTCCCACTCTGTGGAGTCAAAACATATATCGTCATGTGAAAGACAACAATCCTATGACTGCAATCACGGAGCAGGAATTCTAACATATTGATGATAGCTGTATTCAAAGTGATAGCTATTGTAAGATGATAGCTATTCAAAGTGAAAGGCCCAGTTTTTAATGGAATTGGTACGTAATTATTAAGGGACAACCTTTACCAAGGAAAGCAATCTTTGCAACCTTATTCCACCATTCAGATATATAGGATAAACATACATTCAACAACAGAATCCTCCAAGGACAGGATCACAAGGGCAGTACAACAGAGCTAAAATGCTGGAAGACAGACAAAAGTATTCCATTAAACACTGGGCCTTTCACTTTGAATAGCTATCGTCTCACAGGAGAAAATGACACCCAGTCACTAGAAGATTTTGATAATAGTTTTGCTCTCAGAAATACCCTTGCTGCAGTCCTTAACAACTGTAAGGATTGCTTGTGTACTCTTCCTTACTGAAGCATTAACTTACTAGCCCCTTTCCATCCCATTCAGCATTGACTGTGGCAATACACTCTTTGGACAAACCTTGAATCCTTTCAACCACAAGAAAACCTCCGGAGGTTCTAGTGGAGGGGAAGCTGCACTCATTGGAGGTGGAGGCTCCATTCTTGGGATTGGGACCGATGTGGCTGCAAGTATCCGAGTGCCATGTGGCTTCTGTGGGATCTGTGGAATAAAACCCACCGGCTATAGGCTGAGGTAGGTCTCACAGGTTTGGAACCATCCATCCATAAATCATGGACAATCAACCAAGTGAAGAGCAGCAGAATTGCAGTTTAAAAGCAGACATTCTTGATACAGGTCTTGATACAGAGAGCCCTGGGAAACTAGTCCTCTGGGTGACAAACATTACATAATCCCTGTTAGTTAGCGTGATCTGGCATTTGCCAAGGCCCACCTGGCATTCAGGGTCTCCTTAAGAACAGCACCAAGTTCTTCATTCTATGTGGTGTGGGGGCATATAGAAGTCCCATTGTGCAGGCAAAAATTATTGTACTAATTGGACAACTTCTCACTCAATGAACCCCTGTGTTTTGGCATTTTATTTTTTTTTAAAGCAGATTCTGAGGCTAAGCCCTGTGGAGTCTTGGCTCACATTGAAGTCACATTGGTTTTATTTTTAATATATATTTTGTGTTTTTATGTTGTCAACTGCCCTGTGACCTGTGGGTATAGGGCGATATACAAATTAAGTAAATAAATAAATAAAACCAGAAAGAGGTTGCAGTAAAGGGCTCCTCTTTGTCTAAGCAAACTTGGGTTATTGGCAAGTAACATTTGTTTTTTATGAGATGTAGTCAACTAAACTTTCAGAGTATTTGAGGCATGAGGATATGCCAGTTTTCCAGGAAACGTGACTATATCTATGAAAGAGGGGTGGGTGTGGGGGAAGGGAACTGCGTTAGTAGCATAATTCCTGACTTCTGGACTAAAAAAAGTGGGCAGTGCCACAGAAAGTATTAAACACAGGGAAGACCCAGAGCCTGTTTTCACTTAAAGCTCAAATCTCTCTGCAAATTTTTGTTAGTTCTGGTCTAAATTCTAAGAAGGGAAGTGAAATTGTTTGAATCCACAGTGTATGCAAGCTGCATAGTTAAAATATCAGGATCTGCTTCCGTGAGGGGTGGACATCAGATTCTGCCCTCCTCTGTGTAGTTTTACAGAGGCTGGGAAGTTAATTAGGGATAATGAAATGTGCCTATAACATTTCCCTATCAAATATTTTAAAAAGGAAGGTACTTTGCACAGAATTTCCAATGGCTTTCCAATGGCTTTCAGCTATTAGGAACATCCTTTGACGCATGTCACTTGCATTTCATGGCTTGGGTCTCTTTGGCTCTCTCTGTCATTTGGCTTTTCTCCATCATTAATTTACTTTTCCCGTTTGCTCTTGTGCAGCGTCAAAGGTGCTAGCACTCCTGTAGCTGGAATGAACTCAGGTGAGCAAGTCTATTGCTGATAAAATGTAAGCGAGAGTTGAAAGTGTTACTTAGCTCATGGGAGAATTTAAACAAGCACAAGCCCTTTGATGGAGACCGCAGTTTTCCGATAAGCAATAAACTTTTAGAGTTTGGGCTCATTTAAAAACAAACAAATGCAAATGCCATTCTATGAGAAGGCCAGGTGTTAATGGTAATTTCTGATTTGTTTAACGAAGATCAGATGTATCTTAATTGTTTTTGCTGGCTATATGTAAGGAAAAAATGGCGCGCATTTCTTTTGCAACCTGAAAATTCATTTAATTTTGTAAGATTCTGTGACAGTAAAAAAAAAATTAAGTCAAATGATCTTTGTGCCTGTGCTTACACCATAGGAGCCAATTGCTAGGGGCCAAGTGGTCGTTGCCCCTCCAATAAAATATTTGAGGTTGCCACCCCCCCCAAAAGCTGATGGGCATTGCCATTCAAATGGTGTGCGTGCACCATGTCGTGTGGTTGATTATGCAGGATGGGGCTTACCTGCCCCCCAATATTTTATTCAAGTTGGCACCCCTGGCTTACACAAATACTCTATGCAAATGTATGTAGACCTTAGGCCTTGTGGGATCTACTTAATTTATTTTTACTAGAACCCTGAGATCCACAGAACCAGGTGCAACAGACATTCTGAGCTCTGCAATTTGCTTTGAAATCCAGAATGTCTTTTCACATAAAAATCCTCTCCCCATCCCCAATGCTCTTCAGTGCAGCAGTATTAAGGGGAAGTCATTATATTGTTGCCATTTAAACAATTGGGGGTCAGATCTACTTCAAATCACCAGAAATTGACCTTCTGCCAATGGCTGCACACAAATATAGCCCCTGATAGGACTTCTAGTCCAAAAGGTGTGGAAGTTACAAGGTTGCAGATGGCTGTGCTAAGCCATAGTTTCACAGCATGTCTGAAATGGGTGCGAAAATTGCAACTCAATTCTTTTTAATGTTCATACTGCAAAATTCATGGTTGCACATTTAAAACTTACCTTCTTCTTCTTGTTACCATGTAGAGGACCTGACTGCTCAGTTTTCATATGGTGAAATGAATCTGTGAACACATTGTCACCCAGTGAGATCTTTAGTTACCACCATCTCCGAGAAAAACATATTTGTAGATGCATTTCGGGATGCGGGTGGCGCTGTGGGTTAAACCACAGAGCCTAGGACTTGCCGATCAGAAGGTCGGCGGTTCGAATCCCCGCGATGGGGTGAGCTCCCATTGCTTGGTCCCAGCTCCTGCCCACCTAGCAGTTTGAAAGCACGTCAAAGTGCAAGTAGATAAATAGGTACCGCTCCGGCGGGAAGGTAAACGGCGTTTCCGTGCACTGCTCTGGTTCGCCAGAAGCGGCTTAGTCATGCTGGCCACATGACCCAGAAGCTGTACGCCGGCTCACTTGGCCAATAAAGCGAGATGAGCGCCGCAACCCCAGAGTCGGTCACGACTGGACCTAATGGTCAGGGGTCCCTTTACCTTTACCTTAGATGCATTTCAGAGTACAATAAAATTGGCAGTTTTTGTGGATGGGATGACTGGGTGATCATCATGTGAAAACTGATGGGCCTGGGGAGAAAGTAATTCCAGAGTCCTTTTTCCTCCTCAGAAATGGCCCTTTGGCATTGTTGTGCACGTAGAAACCCTAATAACTGGAAGGCAACTGCATGGAAATCATGCTACTAGCACTCCTATCTTCCTCCCCATGTTCAGAAGTCTTACTCTTTTGTTCCAGTCATCTCCGTGACAGGCCCAATGGCAAGAGATGTGGACAGTCTGGTTCTGTGCATGAGGGCCCTCCTGTGTGACGAACTATTTCGCCTGGATTCATCTGTGCCCCCAATTCCCTTTAATGAGGAGGTAATGGAATTGTGTTCAACAGCACACTGAAGTAGTTGATTCACCATAGGCTTTTAATGCATAATGAAATTTCCTTTTTAGTGGGGGAATCTCAATTTTTGTCAATGCTAAGATATCAGTGCATGCATGCTAGGTGTCACTATAGGGGTTTTACACTCTATAGCAGCAGTGAGTGGAGCTGTCAGCCAGGGAAGGAGCAAAGGTCTAAAGGGTAAAGCCAAAATGGAGGCCCAGGGTGAAGCTTGTTTGAAATCTGAGGTCTGAAACCCTTTCACAACGGAAAGAAGGAAAAACTCGAGCTTGGTCTAGGTGTCAGGAGGGAGAAATCTGAAGTCAAATATGACATCTAGGTAAGAGAAATTAAAGGCTCAGGAGACCCATGAGTCAGTTTGTTATCTCTCTATCAACAAAACGAAACTTGTGACTCCACCTGCAGAGCACTAAGTCTAGTGCCACCTAGTGACTCAAATACATAGTGATATTATCCACACAGAGGAGCTGAACAATGATACCTATTGCATGGCTACATGAATAGTTTAAGACAGGAGCAGGACTCTCTCTTCTTCAGGTATCAGCTGAGGTTTCTGGTAGTTCAGAATGTGGCCCTGAATTTTCAGGTTGCTTCATGAAATGTTATTATTTGTCCCCCTCCCATCTTTCGGATGGCTTCCAACAAAATAAAAACATATTAAGACATACACAAAACATTAAAAACTTCCCAATACAGGGCTGCTGTTAGATGTCTTCTGAAAGTCGTGTAGTTGTTTATTTCCTTGACATCTGATGGGAGGGTGTTCCATAGAGTGAGTGTCACTACTGAAAGGCCCTCTGCCTGGTTCCCTGTAACTTCAGTTCTTGCAGTGAGGGAATGTCCAGAAGGCCCTCGGAGCTAGATCTCAGTGTCCGGGCTGAATGATGTGGGTGGAGATGCTCCTTCAGATATACAGGGCCGAGGCTGTTTAGGGCTTTAAAGGTCAGCACCAAAGAGGAACAAGGTGAATACTCCATCCCTTACAGTCCTGAATTGATGTGATCTGAATTGATTGATGTTGACACTGTGTCAACAACTCTTCAGTTAACAAGATGGCTGGGCTCAACAAATCACACAGTGGGAAAGCATTCTAAAACCAAAGCAGAGTCAAAATGCCACAGCTCATATGATAGTGGTACCCAGGGAAGGACCTCTGATGGAGATTTTAGCACACAGATACATGGGGAGATGAGCAGTCCGTCAGGTACCCTGATCCCTAGCTTTCACCCTCACCTGAGCTGTGAAAAGCCATGTCACCTTCTTCTCATGTCCTAGTAACTAGTACTATGTGATTACTCTGGTTCCTCTCTGCAGATTTACTCTAGCTCCCGGCCACTCAGGATTGGCTACTATGATGGAGATGGTTATTTCCAGCCCTCTCCCAGCATGAGGAGAGCTGTGCTGGAAACCCGACAGTTGCTACAGGAAGCAGGACACACAGTAAGCTCTGGGCCCATGGAGAGCCTTTTCTTACATTGCCTGAACTTTAATTTATATTGAGTTTGTTTGCTGCATTTTCATTGCTTTAATTTTATTGGGTTTTGTAATACATGTAACAAATCAATAATAATAAGAGATGGCTATTTATGCAGAAACAATGCGCACTGCCAGCAAGAACATTGATTCTTGATTTTTGTAAATGATGCAGTGTAATGTGCTATTTGTTAATTAAGAAAAAAAGAAATAGCAAGTGGAAGATGTGGGGAGCAAAGGAGAAAGAAACTTGACGAAAAGTTGCTGTGGGAAGGAAGCAGAAGGGGATAATAAAAGTAAGGTATTTTCTTCATTATTTTCTGGAGCCATGCTAGTCTACTGGCATTGTTTTTTAGAAGATGCCTGTCACCACTGAAAATGTAGCCATTGGATTGCTGCACGTAACATACACTTGACTTTTGAGTGTACACACCCTAGGTTGTATTCACCTTTCTTTTACACAGAGTAGATCTATTGGATTTAGTAGGCCCAAGTCATACCCTGCAACATTTCTCCGATGAAAATAGGGATGTCCCATAATGATAATTTTTACTATTTCTATCCCACACATCTTACTGGGTTGCCCCAGCCACTCTGAGCAGCTTCCAGGATATATAAAAACATAACAAAATATTAAACATTTTTTTAAAAAACCTTCCCTATACACAGGATTGCCTTCAGACGGCTCCATACCCCCCAACATTTCTCCAATGGAATTCAGGACATCCTAAGGAAAAGAGGGACTTTCCGGAATCAAATCAGAAACCGGGACAGCATCTCTAAATCAGGGATGTCCCTGGAAAATAGGGACACTTGGAGGGTCTGCCATGTTAGTAATGGTCATTAATTCCAATTAGTCTGAGTAAAATTTAGTTGAATACCGCCCTATGTCTGCACACCAGTTACCAACTACTGGCTGAAACTTACATTTCCAGTTTTCTGACATTAGACATTTTGCAGCTTCCAGAGTTCTGCTAAGTTGACATTTTCTGGTACTTATTCAAGCTTGTGGCTGCACCTGTACCTACAGACTGGGCTGCAGTCTAGACAATTCTAGACAAAAGTTAATAGAGGCCTGTGGAGATTAGACAATAACATTCTCCGCCAAGAATGTGTATCCAGGCAATATATAGGTCCTCCTTTCATTTTACTGATTGCAAAGAATCACATGTATAAAGGCAGAATGATAACTGCATATATTTATTATATATTTTTGTTGCCTTTAAATCTTTGCCTTGTTTTTCTGCTCAGCTTATACCTTTCACTCCTCCTCGAATTGATTTTTTGGTGGATGAGCTCTTCACCAAAGGCCTCTATGCAGACGGATGCTCAACATTACTGGAAAAGTTGTAAGTAGAAACCAAGACGTACAGACACATATGTAGTGTATGTATGTGTTTACGGGAGGACAAATCAGGAGATCAAAAACTTTCTGAAGAAGAGATATCAAGGCTCTTTAGTAGGAAACAATTAGGAACAAAAGAGGCATATTATTATTATTACTATTTTAACAACAACAACAACAACAAAAGAGGCTTATAATAATTATTTCAGATTGCTTTGAAAAATCTGGTGTAACATAGTAATTATAACATTCAAATATTATAGAAGAGGAAGTAATGGCCAAAACACATTTCTGGAATGGCTTTTAGAACAGCAGACACTTTTTATTATGTTCTGGAATAACAAATGTCAATAGAATATGTATGCATAAAAATATATTTTTTTAATTGTAGTATTATTTTGTATACAAGTATTGTGCAGATAACAATGACAATAGGTTGTCGAACTGAATTATAGTATGTTTCATAAAATTGATAAATGGGGGGGGGAGGCTTAAATTAAATTATGCTCTTGTTGCATCTTTGGGGGGGGGGTCTTTGCTGAATTACTGAAAATTCCATTTCCTTCAGGAGTTGATTATCTGCCCCTCAGTCATGCTTTAAGTTTCAGATTCTGCATTTGTCTATCAGGGATTTTAACTGCAAGGATAGTAGCTGTAGCATAGGCATGTCATTGCAACAGGTAAATAGCATTTACAGACATTATCTTACAGCATAGAACCTGCTTTCTTCCTCTTTTTACTTTCCCAGTGATGGAGAGTTTGTGGATTCCACTTGGACAAACCAGATAAATTGTTACCGGTTGCCAAATTTACTGAAAAGGATCCTGGCTCTCATTTTAATGCCGTTGGTGAGTCTCCAACTTGTGAAACAGACACACAGACTTTCTCCATATCTACCTTTGTGTATGTCAACAATAAGGGATGTGGGTGGCACTGTGATCTAAACCACTGAGCCTCTTGGGCTTGCTGATCAGAAGGTCAGCAGTTCAAATCCCCGTGACGTGGTGAGCTCCTGTTGTCTGGTCCCAGCTCTTGCCAACCTTGCAGTTTGAAAGCATGCCAGCGCAAGTAGATAAATAGGTACTGCTGTGGCGGGAAGGTAAATGGCATTTCCGTGTGCTGCTCTGGTTTCGCCAGAAGCAGCTTATTCGTGCTGGCCACATGACTCGGAAAAACTGTCTGCGGATAAACATCGGGTCCCCTGGCCTGTAAAGCGAGATGAGCGCCGCAACCTCAGATCTATGCTGCTTCATCCTGCTGAGTTCTCTGCATCTCCCTCTCTGAGTAATGATGCACAGTGTTGGGAAGCTGGAAGAGCAATGCCCACACTGTTCCACCAGTTTCTACTGAACAGGATTCTCAGCCAACTTTTGCAGGAAAAGTTCAGGGAAATCCTTCACCTCTAGGAGGTCGTAAGGCAGAAGTAGGGAGTGCAGCTTTGGGATTGCTGGCAACACTCTTGTGGGTTTTATTTTCTCTTGGTAATGCGATCATGGAAAACCTCAGATGCTGCCAGATAGCTAGAGGGAGGCTGATAGACCCTCTGTGAGCTGAATATTTGGAGGCTAGCTTTTCAGCTAGGCCTGGTGTGGGAGCTCAGAGCCTAAGCTAGGAGTACAGCAAAGAAGCCATTGGCTGCCACAACACTAGGTTCCCTACTTGGCAAATATCTTCATGCTCAAGGTTTGATTTAGTCCAGAGGAGGGAAGTGAGCCTAGGTTCATGAGCAGATGGGGGCAGGGATTGCAAGAGGTGACAAGCCACGGGACTAGAGATGCAGTCATATACTGTACACATTTACCTGGGACTAAGTCACAGAATCATTGAACTGTAGAGTTGGAAGAGACTACGAGGGTCATGTAATCCAACTCCCTGCAATGCACGAATCTTTCACCCAACATGGGGCTCAAACCCACGACCCTGAGATTAGGAGTCTTATGCTCTACCAACTGAGCTATCCCATTCCAATTGAACTCAGTGGGCTTACTTCAAAGTTGACTTGCCAAGGATTGCACTACAGGTAGGATGGAAAGGAGAGACTGGCGGGGCAAGGATTTTCATGATCCGGGGCAGAAAATGCCTCTGTTTTAATATTTTGGCCTATATTCCAAAAATGCCTATGATGAATCTTGATTGCCAGGGAGTAAATCTGCAAGGTTGCTCCAGCATTCTTGGAAATATGCTGAAGCTTTTGTTATGCGTCTGAAAATGAGATTGCTTACAGGTTCCTTAACGGCACAGGAAGCTTATGACTCCCTATTTGCATTGATTGCTATTGTTATATTTAAATCAGAACGTGGCTCTGGATCTTTAGAGCAAGCCATGTTCCATTTCCTTCCAAGCTGAATCGTAATGCCAACTAGTATATTTGATTGTTTCCCTCATACAATGTCTCAGAAATGACTGTTTCATTTAGAGCTCGGTCGCCTCAGTCAATCTTGTTAACTGAAATCAAGTTCTAGCTGCCTTCCTTATAAAGCGGAATAACCAAGGTGGAAAATCATAATCTAAGAATAATGACTTTGATGCAGCCAGTCTCAGGTTTTCATATGCTGCTTTCTGATGAGCCCATCCTCTGCAAAACGATCAGGTTGAAAGCAAAGTGGAGAAAATAGAATTGCCAGAACTCTCCCCCCCCATGCAATAACTTTTTTCTTCCCATATGCCACAATACATTCTTTTTATCATGACTATCCACTCAAAAAATCTCTTGATAGTCAAAAGAAAAAAGGCAGGCACAAACTCCAGCTATAGTTGTGAAATTTCAAGTCCCACTGATTTCATTAAGTGAATTAAGCATGAGTGTTAGCCTCTTCTTTTGAAACTAGTGCAACTAGCTTTGCCTGGGTTGAGCGCAATTGCTTTTAAGTGGCTGTTTGTGAATTGCACAGGCATAAATTTTTGCAGCATGCATAAAAGCCAACATGATTGATAAATGAATCTTACTAAATGCAAATATTAGTAAAAATAGATGAAAAATGCATTATTTTAGTGGGAAATGACTTGCAAAAATGTGCATATTAGGCAAAAATACATCGATAGATGCATGCATTAGGTGAAATTCCCACAAAATCTCTGATGAATTTTTATGAGGACCTTAAAAAAATTCAGAAAATGATTTGGAGATGTGAAGAATTAAAGAAGGAGAAACTGAAATTGACAGGTTTACCAACCAGCCCTATGGGGCAGTGGCCTTCACTGTACCTGAGAGCAACAGGCCAGCTTAAGGGGTGCAGAATAGGCTACATAGTCTAATCAGCTCAGTTCTCCAGCACTGCAGCTCACTCCCTGCTTTGCCTGCTTGCTACCTGCTCAGACAAATGCTGCAATGCCTTTGTGGCATCAGTGTGCATCACACGAGTAGGATGTGGGCACGTGGGATGCCTGCTGGGATGAATAGCCTGGGCCGGCTTCCTGGTTCTGGCCTGTTCGGTCAGACCCTCTCCTAATGGCATTGTCTGTGATCCATTAGGGGAAGGTGACAAGGTCAGACAGACAGATCAGGTTCATCCCAGCAACAAGCAAGGATCACTACTGGCAGAGCCCTAGCTCAGAAGCTGGGGCTGGCAGGGACTGAAGGGGAAACAGCTGGAGGAGCCACTGCTGCCAGCCAGCATCTGTTGCCTGAAGTGGTCTTCTCACTCTGCCTAAAAATAAATAAAGCAAAAAGCAAAAAGCTAAAGGACCCCTGGACTGTGAAGTCCAGTCAAACGCATCTATGGGATGCAGTGCTCATCTCGCTTCAGGCTGAGGGAGCCAGTGTTTGTCCACAGACAGCTTTCTGGGTCATGTGGCCAGCATGATTAAACTGCTTCTGGTGCAGCGTAACACTGTGACAGAAGCCAGAGTGCATGGAAGTGCTGTTTACCTTTGTGCCACAGCAGCACCTATTTATCTACTTGTACCCCATCCTGGGGATTCAAACCGCCAACCTTCTGATCGGCAAGCCCAAGAGGCTCAGTGGTTTAGACCACAGCCCCACCTGCATCCCAGAGACTGTCTAATGGGAGGGCTGGTCCTGTAAAAAGCATGGCTGCTGGAGAGATGTTTGGATCGCAAGAAACCCTTAGCCTTTACTTGACCTTAACTTCTTCATCATGTTAAGCACAGTGGGAGCAGATGCTTTTTGGGTAGGTGGGGTACATGTGACAAATTTCAGCCAACTGTGAGGGGAGAAAAATGCTGTGTAACTTGAATACATAACAACAAGCTGATAAGTTGCAAAACAGCTTTGCAAACAGTGCAATTTTGCAACGCCAGTGAATTTTAATCCATATCAGGCAACTTTTAAAAAGTAGTAGATGCTAAGGTTATAAGCACTTACCAGAGTAAACTAAAAGCAGTAAAAATATTACAATTGTTCTTACTAATAAAAAAATTACAAGTGTTACTTTTTATTCCTATATCTTGCCCTTCCTCCTGAAGGAGCCAAGGGTGGCTGAAAACAGCTATACAGATAAAATCAGTAGAAACAATGATGTCGTTATGTGAAGTTTGTCTGAAAGGGACCTGGGCTTATATCTGGAGGGATGTGACTGCAGTTGAATTTGGGTGAATGTACTTAAAGTAATTCTGAAAGTCTCCCTTCTTACAAAGTACCTCCACAAAACTGTTTTTCCATCTCCCCTCAAAAAAACCAGTTGGGGATCTTGCACAAAAGCTTTTTAAAGATGTTAGTGATAGTGGGAATATTGTGAGTGTGAATTAACACCCCTTGGGAGCTCATGATTTGTGTGCACTGACAAACCCTGTGGATCATTAGTTTTTAGTTGAATAATGAAATAAGACAGAAAGTCCATCAGTTTCTTTAGTAGAATGCTCCAATGAATAATTTACAAAGAGGATTTACCTCTCATCGAAACCCCATCAGCTGTAATTTGCAACTTATCACTTGGACACTTTTCTAAAAGCTGCTGTGAAGATAGCATCTAGATGGATAGATGTGGGACTATACATATAGGTTTACTATTCCTTCCTTTCTTATATTTATGCCCCACTTTTCAGTCATGCTTGGGTCCCACAGGAGTTAACAGTTTGCACATAGGAACAATAGAGATACATTGGTGTGTGCATGATAGTCTATTCTGGGCCCTGGCAATTGGTGACATAGTTCCCTGGGCACACATGGCAGTGAAGCGTAAATTTGTTCTTGGGACTTTTTGACTCAAACCTGCTTTTAATCAGACACATAGAAGAGTCATTAATATATTTTTTAATTTAGCTATGACTTTTTATCAAAGCATGCTGGATTCCTAACGGGAAAAGGTGGCAATAATAATAATAATAATAATAATAATAATAATAATAATAATAATAATAATAATGTATTCCCTCTCCCAGTTTCCACGAATCTCTCGACATCTGAATGCCCTTATTGGAGTAGGGTAAGTAAATTTTTACATGATTTATAAATGGATTCATTGTGAAGTACTAAATATAATCATGATGGGAATTTTGTGTGGAATACCAATGTTGTTAAAACTTCACAACCACTGTTGTGAATAATGATATTTCCATCGTTGTGAATGTACTGTGTGACTGCATCTGTGATGAAAAGTGACTATATGGCCAAAATGGGCAGTTTTAGTTAATTTTCTCTGAGGAATTTTTTTCCTCTTGTTCCTGTCATGAATTCTAATCTGCATGCCTTCTGCAAATTTCCTAGGTCAGTGAAAAACTTCTGGAAGAACAACGTTGACCGGATGGTAATTTTGTTTTCTTGTTAAAAGACAAAGAAAAGTGCCCAAGTGCTCAAATTTTCTCCGCCCCCAATCACTGCTCATCAGAGAGAAACCTGTTCAGAAAGGGCAGTTTCTTGGGAAAGTGTGCATACAGTCTCCCTGTTGGGTAGTTTTTGTGCCTTTCATTGCTGAGAGCAAGACGTGCAAATAATAGTTACCTCACAATCCTATATGATTTGATTCTGGAGAATGATATTAATTGAAAGCTAATATGGTCCCTGGGACGCGGGTGGCGCTGTGGGTAAAAGCCTCAGCGCCCAGGACTTGCCGATCGTCAGGTCGGCGGTTCGAATCCCTGCGGCAGGGTGCGCTCCTGTTGCTCGGTCCCAGCGCCTGCCAACCTAGCAGTTCGAAAGCACCCCCGGGTGCAAGTAGATAAATAGGGACCGCTTACTAGCGGGAAGGTAAACGGCGTTACCGTGTGTGGCTCTGGCTCGCCAGAGCAGTGATGTCACGCTGGCCACGTGACCCGGAAGTGTCTTCGGACAGCGCTGGCCCCCGGCCTCTTGAGTGAGATGGGCGCATAACCCTAGAGTCGGACATGACTGGCCCGTACAGGCAGGGGTACCTTTACCTTTACCTTAATATGGTCCCTAGAACTCCAGCTACAGCACCATCAATGATGCTGACGTATCCTAATACTGTATTCCACAGTTCTGGTCTATGCTAACATACAACTGATGGAGCTATGGTGTGCTGTTCTGTACACAAGCAGATAGTTTAAAGTGACCAAAGAGGGTTGGGCCAAATGATGAAGTGAAGAGCATTTTTGACAGAGGTCAAGCTGATGATAAAGTACTAATGGGTGAGCAGGAGCCATGAGAGAATGAGGAAAAATAGGACTCATGCTGAGGGTATGGAGATCAGCAGTAGCATGTCAATCATCTCCCAAGTCTTCTGCATTTGGAGTGTCTCAGTCTTCTCCTGATTTGTTTGTAGTAGTGGTAGTAGTAGTAGTATGGTTGTTTAACTCTTTGAAATTTGACAGGTGGGCATTCCACAAATGTGACAACCAATAAGGCCTTCTGCCTGGTTCCCTATATTTTCACTTTTTGCAATGAGAGAACCACCAGAAGGCTCTTGGAGCTGGACCTTAGTGTCTGGGTTGAACAATGTGGGTGGAGACACCCCTTCAGGTATAGCACACTTCAGCCTTTTCTCCACAGCTAAAATGACTAGAACACTGTAGAGCTTCTTAGGTTTTGTGCTGATCAGCAACAAGTAAGGATGTAAATGCATTTCTGTTAATCAATTCACACTGATGGTGGCATTTTGTACATAATAGCCACTGTCTTCTCTTTGTATTTCTCCCCAGGCTTACCGTGATGAATTCATTGCAGAATGGAGGAAGTTGAAGCTGGATGTTGTGCTTTGTCCAGCTTTGGGACCAGCTTTTAATTTGGGATATGCTGGCAAGCTATTTGGTACCAAATAATACATCTTATCTGATTTTCCAGTATACATGCTCTTATATTGATCCTGTTCCCTTGGCTTGTTGCATACTGTGGATTAAATTATGTGGCTTTCTCTGAGCTGACCTGTAGAGCATCCTGCTCTGAGCAAAGGAGGAATAGATGATGACCATCTTTCTCTCCCAGCCTTATGATCCAAATATTTATAAAAGTTTGTGGAGAGAGGGTATATGGGCCCATCTAGCCACATTGTGCCATCCTTGATATCTACCATATTTCCTGGCAGATGATCCCAACTTGGCAGGAGATGGATGTTAGAACATCCATCCACTAATACGTAACTGTCTCCTGCTCAGTAGTAATCAAGCGAAAGGAAGAAATTATTGATATGTGTGCATTTATTAATCCATTTAGCTCTGGCTCCTTCAAGGGGCATAATGAATTTGAAAAGTGGTGAGAAAGATTTGTAGCGCAAGGCTATGAAGCAGGAACACACTACTACAGAACAGCTCCCATTATTATTATTATCACCACCATTTATTGTATTTATAACCTACCCTTCAACCTGAAGGATACCAATATGGCAGCATACGTAGCTGTAGATTCACCTACATTGTATCATGCCATACCAGTTGGGATGGACTCCTTAACCAACTAAGGTATAGCTAAGTCTAGCTCCACCCAGGACATAATATACTGTGAATCTTTAAGGTACTGCTAGCAGAACTGTAGCTGCGTTGCATTGTAGTCTCACAACCCATCCCTTCTTCCAACACTATTGTGAGTAGATGGGATTTTTTGACTGATGCATTAATTCCTTGATTATTCAATATTTACCTTGCATGAAATTGTACTTATACTTTGGTACTTTTCCTTCAACCGGTGTCAGTGAGAAAAATATTATCATTGTTATTTTATAATTGGAATCAAAAGGTGTATTGAGTGAGTGGAAAGGAACTTCTGCCTGTGCAAGGCAGCCCCCTTGAATTCTGGCAACCCCCCCCCCATTCTCTTAGCTGGCCCCTACAGTACCTGGTCACACACCATTCCAGATGGAGCGGCTTTGTGGAGACCACAGGGGCACTAGTGGTGAGAGGATCCATATTAATCTTGTTTTCTGAGTGGAGTTCTGCTCACTCTTCTCTGGACCCAGTATTATTAATCCCACAAAACAAAACTGAGTGAATTAAGTCTCATCGCCTTTTAAAAACTTCAAGGCAAGAAGATTGCAACAGATTTCAGCTTGACCAGATCTCTTGTGGTTGCTTGTACAGTTAGGAAGAATGTGCCGGCAGGCAAATGCCATATTTTCTTAGAAGTGATAAGAAAGCACCCTCAATCGTATTCTTTTTTTCCTTCAAGGCTCCAGGCTTTAATCAAGTCAATTATTCAGGTTCTCAACATGCTTGAAGCCAAACCAGGAAAACCCAGTTCCTCTTGGGCTGATTCCATGGGTGTGTGCATTGTTGATGTGGATGCATCTAGGCAAATATCTGAGAAAACACTTGAATCAATCAACACCTTTCTGAGGCTCCTTCCCCTGAACAGTTGTGCGACTGTTCTGAAGGTTATTTTAGATTAGTTGATAAAGTAGCACAAGACAATCCAGCAGTGCTCTGCCATGTCAAGATCATTTTCTTTTTCCTTATTGTGTGTTTGGGCAGAGAAGTACGCACTGTGCTCTTATTGCATTTGCATGTTGTTGTCATGAAACAAAGGTCTGGTACCGCAAAATGAGAAGTATTGTGTGTTGTCTTTTCCAGTTGCTACCACTTACACCCATTTATACAACGTCTTGAATTTTCCGGCCGGAGTTGTCCCAGTTACTACAGTGACACAGGCAGATGAGGAAGAGCTGAAGCTTTACAAAGGGCATTATGGAGACCCCTGGGATAAGAGGATGAAGGAGGTCAGTCAATAGCAACCAAGGCAAGGACAGTGCCTAGACGCTGCATCAAGCATGGGGAACCTGTGACACACCCACCCACCCAGATGTTGTTGGACTGCAACTTCTATCCATCCTGTCCATTGGTCATGTTGGTTGGTGTAGAGACTGATGGGAGTTGGAGTTCAACAGATTCCTAATCCCCACCTCATGTCGTTGGGGCTCTGTTTGCTGTACAGCTTTGTAGCAAATTGACCCTTCCTTGCTTCCCTCCTGAAATTAGGGAAATTTTGTAGCTGGTTAACACCGCCCATTAAATTGGAAAGCTGGAACTGCTTCACTAATATACCTTCATTGGCGGCTTCTGATCTGAGTAGGATCTTAATTATTGCCAGACAAAATTACATTTTAAAAGTAACTTGTACAGCCTTATTCTAAGTGTGTTTATTTGGAATAGGTTCTAAACTGGTTAATGTGATTAAATTATTTCCTATAAGAGCATTTGACATCAAATCTCTGACCTGGGTAAAAAAAATCACAACCATAAGGTCATGGAGTACAATTATTAGCAATATTCCAACATAAGTGACATGTGTAGGAATACATTTTTATAAACAAATCCATGGAATGCAGCTCCTAACCCAAAGCACTAAACCCCCACAGTCATGTTGGAAATCTATTCTGAGCATTTCCATTATCCTGTTGAATATAGGCCTCCTTATTGCCCAGTAGATCCTGAAAGTCTCAATCAATTCAAAAGGGAGCCACGCAGGGAGAAGTCTGAAAGCCACGAGCTCAAACTGGCTGCTTCCCTCAGTAATGAAATATGCTTTGCGATATCATGCTGCCTTTGTATCTCTCCTGCAGGCTGTCGAAGGTGCCATTGGGCTCCCCGTGGCTGTCCAGTGTGTGGCCCTGCCGTGGCAGGAGGAATTGTGTCTTCGGTTCATGAAGGAGGTAGAGAAAGTCTCCCATGAAAGGAGGGGCAGGAGGAAAATCTGATCCTGTCGGAAAGGAGCACTGTATCTGCTAAAAGATCTGCTTTGTTGACTACTTTGATGTACCGCTGCATGTGTACTGGACATTGCTTGGTCTGCTCAGTTACATTTTTATCAATGTGTGCTAGAAGACAGATTTGAAGAGAATGTTAATATGTAACTTAGTGAGCAGTGAACCTTCAACGACGGTATGCAAAGAGAAATGCTTAAAAGATGCACACGCCCCCAATGTTCTATGAGTATATTTTGACTAGCCTTGTGCCCCACTGTGGGTATTTTGGTTTCTTCTACTCCATTTGCTTTTAGACTTGGATAGTGCAATAATGTACAGAGTGTACTCTGTACATGTGTGCTCTGTATCCAGAGGGCCTCTTTTAAAGGGCTCATCCTGTACTTCTTGGTCTTCTGCAGAATTTGCCTCCTCGTCCCTACAGGAAATTCCCTACAGAAAATAGGAATCAATAATTTTGGCAGTGTTTCTCAGTCCACAAAGTTGCAACACAACTCTTACGTTTAAACATGTTATGAGCAAGTTAACATCTTGTCCAGTGGTGGGGTTTTCTTTTAGCAGAATTTTAACCTGGGTCTTCCATGTCTGTACCATCAACACCACACTTTAATTACTTAGATTTCATTATACGTTGCTTTTTATTGTTTGTCTTTATTCTTGCATTAATATTTCAATTTTTGAAAAATGTATACCATTGTGGAATCCATGGCTGAATGAAGGCACAGTAGAACATTTCAAAATAAAGAAGCAAAAAATGATTTTTTTTCCTTTGACAATAACAAGCAGCCTGAGCGCTCCCATCTTACCGTAACAATGAATGATCAAACAAATACAAGTACAGCATAAAATTTCAGACTATACCTCTCCAATTTGCTACCACCCTCTTGGATACCTTCCCATCCCACTTCTGTCACAGCTCACTGGAGCATATTTGCTGACCCAATGGCAAATGGATTCTTAATATATAACAGATCAAATCAGAGTTCCTTAAAAAAAACAACCCACTTCTGACATACACTGCAAGGGCTAATTCCTGCTTTAGGGAATGGTAGGCTGTTAAGGCTTGGTCCCGTCCCCCCTGTCCCCCGTCAGCAGGCAGAAATGCAGCATATGGTTGTTTCCCTGTTACTTCATCTCTGAACTGGGAAAGCTTCAGCCGTTGAATTCCTCCTACCTTATGTTGTTGTTAGAAATGGTGATCCTGTAGGCTGGAAGTCTGTACTATGTGAGTAGCCCCAGAACTAGTCTGAGCCTGTGTCAAACAACAAGAACCTTGCACTGTAATTCCTCATGAATCAAATTACTGGATTTCCACTATAAGAGTTGATTGAAACAAACACGCATGTAGTGCTTCCTGGAGAAGGAAAAAGATCACTTGCTGAACCCCTACCCCATTGGCTGCATTCCCTGGAGCCACCCACTCCGAATGCTGAACAGCTTGGGCAATTCCTTAGCTTCAAGGAAAGAGAAGGAGATTAGAGGAGAAGGTAAGTGTGGCTTTTTTGTAAGGGAAGAAAATTAGAGACCGTGAGACAGACAAAGTGAGATTTAAGGATTTGACTTATGTGGTTGTGCATTTGGGCAAGAGTCTGGAAAACGCATCTACATGATACACATTTATACAAGGAAAAGGGAGGGTGGAGTCAGAGGAAGAAGAAAGGTAGTGCAGTGTCTCCAGGAGTCCATAGGAAACTCCCTTATTCTGAGTCAGATCATTGGGCCAGTATATTGATTGGCAGTGACTCTCTGGGATTTTAGAACCAATATGGAAATGCTAAAGATTTAACGTTGAATCTACTGCATGCATAGCAGATGCTTGACCAAGGTTGTTGTGCTGTTTCTTTCAATGTGCACATGCTGGGATCTTTCTCTCTGTGTGCGCATAGGATGCTGACAATGTATGTATGTATGTATGTATGTATGTATGTCCAACTCTGCCCATATATGTCCAGGGCTAGTCAGGAGGTAGAAACTGGATGACTTCACTATTCCAGGATAGGGACCTGCAGTCTTCCACATGTGCAGTCTTCCACATGTTTGGACTCCAGCTCCCATCAGCCTCAGAATGGTATGGTGGGCGTTGCAGCCCAGCAACATTGGGAGGGCCACAAGGTCCTCAACTTTGCACCTATCCAAGCAGGAAAGCTAGATCTATTTATTTTTTAAATGAATTAAAATCCTGCTTTTATTAAATCGGCAGATGTAATAATTAACTCCATAATATTGAACTGAGGAGAAAGCACCTAATTCTGTACTGTATGTTTGGTGAGCCTGCCTTAGTTGTGTCCACTTCACAATTGGTAGGTACAGGGCAGTGAAATTGTAGGACCGTGCCAAGCACTCTGTATTCAGAGTCCTTAGCTTGTTCCACTGAAAGGAGGGATGAGTTACTGAAAAGGCTATCTGAGAATCTTTCCAGAGGGCCTCCAGGGGAGAGTTAAACTGTCTCCATCGTTATCTATCTACTTAAAATGTAGAAAAACATGTTCCCCCCCTATCACTATGTGGAACTCTAACCCAAATGAGGCATTTCCTTTTATTTTTAAAATTGCTTATTTTGAAAATGCTTTTTAAAAATTCATTGCATTTCACCTAAATAGCATGAAATGTGCTTATAATGTGTGTGTTTGAGGCAAGAGGGAGAGAGAGGTGGGAAGAAGGAAGAAACATGCTTATTGTTGCATTCAGCCACACAGAATCACACCTGAAGTTCATACTTCCAAGTAGGGCATTAGGCAAAGTGAGGTGTCCGTCAGCAGCAGAGGCTAGCAGGGCAGCGGCAGCCTGCAGCCATTCTTGAATTCCCCAGCCATTTCCTTCTGTTGCCACATGGCTTGTCCTGAGACATCTAATCTTGCTTGCTGTCTCAGGTGCAAAGGAGGATTCAGCTCCATCCAGAGGCAGGTTTAGGGCATAGCTGTCAACTTTCAGATTTGAAAATAAGGGATCAGCAGCCTCAAAAATAAGGGATCAGCAGCCTCACCTGTCCCGGGGACAGTCTACGGGATATCTAACAATCCGGGATAGCAGCAGGAAGCAGCAGGAACCGGCGCTGGAATAAGGGAATTTCCCGCAAAAAAAAGGGAAGGTTGACAGCTATGGTTTAGAGGAGGATGACTGTTTCACCCACACTGAGAGCCGAGCTGAGAGTGCACCACAGGGGTGCTTCAGCAGTGACTTAGAACAGAAGGCGAGAGGCAGGACTGGTGTGTGTGCCAAATTTTGGCATCGCACAGGGTGTCACTGAAATTTCAAAACCCAAAGTCCACCACTGTGCCATCATCGGTTTTGAATCATAGAATTGCCTGACATAGGGCTTGAACTTACGAACCTGGGGTTGAAAGTCTCATGCTCTACTGAAAGAACTATAGGGTTTGACTGCTGGTGTAGTTGGCTTCTGTACATGGAATTGTGGGGGGTGGGGTGTCATATTGTTCTTTGCCTCAGGGAGGAAAATGTCTTGGGCCAGTCCTGCTCTCCAAGTTCATTGTCAGCATTCGCTTGAGGTGAAGGCTGTAAATGTGTTCCTGTGCATTTGGGGACATATGAAATTAACTGCAGCTAGTGGAGAACAGTGCATATAGAGTAGCTTGATGGAATTATTTGGCCTTCACGTTATTTTTGTGCTGTCTTTTCAGAACCCCACAAATACTGTCTGCTGATCTGACTCTAGAAAGTTGCAGAGTGCTTCCACTATGATCCATGAATGGTTGAAGCAGTCATGGCCTCAGGTTAAGATTGACCTTCACATTGTCCTTGCTCTGACCAGCAGCACAGCTGCAGCTTTCTTGGCATTCAGATGGATGGGCCAGAATAGGATCAAAAAACAAATACAAGAGGCAAGAAGGAAGAGAGACCATGGCTTGGGTCAAATGGAAAAAGTTGTTCAGGAGTTTAAACAGCAGGTATACATCTCTTGGATATGTGTGTGATATTCCCACCGTAGACTTCTGTTATAGTGACACCGGTTGGAATAATTGTTTGACAAAGAAAAGAATTTCAGTGAACAATCACATTTTTAGTATGATCAGATTTGATTGATGTCGTCTGGGAACAACTGAAATAGAAAGCCTGGTAAATGTTTGACATTAACAAAACTCTACAGAAGGAGTGGGCAACTCTTATTGTCCAAAGACTTCATTCCCTAGAGCAGTGTTTCTCAACTGGGGGGGGCAGGGATATGGCCACTTGGGACCCCCCAGCAGGACCAGATTTAAGTTTGATGAGGCCCATAGCTACTGGTCCAGCTGTCCTTTGTCAACAACAAATTGTCAGTGTTTTTTGTGTTGAATATATGCTATACAGTGGTACCTCGGGTTACACACGCTTCAGGTTACACACTCCACTAACCCAGAAATAGTGCTTCAGGGTAAGAACTTTGCCTCAGGTTGAGAACAGAAATCGTGCTCCGGCAGCGCGGCAGCAGCAGGAGGCCCCATTAGCTAAAGTGGTGCTTCAGGTTAAGAACAGTTTCAGGTTAAGTACGGACCTCCGGAACAAATTAAGTACTTAACCCGAGGTACCACTGTATTGTAATTTATGGTCCTAATAGGTATCTAAAGCCATTTGCACATGTTGCCATGCAACCGGTCCATGCAGAATGTAGGCAACCTTTATATAGAAATGAGCAAACCAGTGATATTTTGGCGAGCAGGCGGGGCCCATTACTTACATCATAGGAGCCTACACAACACAAAACACTCTTGCTGTATGCATGTTTTATTTTATTTGTTTTTTTATCTTATATTTTGGAAATGTACATCCAGTTTTTTCCCCTTAAATTTTTTTTGGGGACACTCCAAGAGAGTGGGGCGCTAAGCTATAGCTTGTGTAGCTTATATGTAAATCTGGCACTGCCCCCCAGGATATCCCAAGGGGGCCACAGGTGAAATTATATAAGTTATATAATTATAAAAATTTAAATAAAACATGTTCTGTTTACAAACAAAATAGCTACCTTTCTACTGGTAGGACAGGGGAGGAAAGAAATAAGGTTGGAAGGGGGCCACGGTCAGAAAAAGGTTGAGAAACACTGCCCTAGAGGGCAACCTTCCAGAGACAACATGCCCAAGATAGGCTGGGGGAAGCAGTTGGGGAGCAGACAAAGCAAGGGATATGATTCCTGCCTTTTTTAACAGTAGGTTGCACTCCAGCTATGCAAAACATCAAAAGTGTGTATACCCCACTCCCCCAACATCTCTCCAGTCTTTATCCAGGCATGCATGCAGAAGTCATTGTCAAAGTTCAAGCACAGATGAGTGCCATGCAAGAGCACTTGAGGAGACTGCTGCTCAGTGCCAGTGAGGGGTGTGGCCTTGGGAGAGGGGTGTGGCCTAAGGAGGAGGTGAGTCCTGAGGTCTGGATAGAGAGGTCCCAGGCTCAGCTCCCCATCCCCTTTCCACATAGTCCACGAGAATTGCCATGTGGTATGCTGTCTCCACAGAATCCTGGGGTACAAGCCGCTCATGTCCTTTCACTGCCTCTGGCAGAGCTAGTGGAGAAGCTGAAGGAAGGGTCCTTGTCTCCAGAAAGCGTCCTTTACACTTACATGGAAAAGGTGAGAAGAATGATATGTTGTGTTCTTCGCCATCTTGATACTTTTAAAATTGTATTTGGCAGCATAGAAATATTTTCGGATAAATCAATACATAGTTTATTTAATAGGTCCATCTAGGACAAAAATGCCCATATTCACAGTAGCCAAAATATTTGGACTACCTGCACTATGCAATCAGGATTATTTCAGCAAATTTGCACAAACTTGTTTTTCCTAATTTAGTTGAAATTCCCAACACCACCTCTTACAATTAGGAATACTTGTTTAGGTCTTGGGTGTCTCAGTCTACACTTTCAGGTCTAAAGCATAGTTTTGCCAGATCACGATCACTTACTCTCTCCCTCTCCGGATTTCCCACAGTTAAGATCCATTACTCTTCAGTAAGTTGGGGGTTGGGGGAGCAACAACGGTATGATCAGGGCCAGTCCAAGACAGTTTGGTGCCTGAGGTTGAGGAAAGAATGGCACTTTCCTCTTCCCTCTCAAATTTCATATACAGAAGCTAACTGGACTCGGCAGCTGAACCTTAGTTACACCACTCACGGGACAGCTTTCTCCACTATTCCTAAAGGCTGCAAGGTAGCTTAGGGTGAATGAGGCAGGCCACATGACATACCCAGCTCTGTTTTGAATCCTTGGTGCCACTCCCCACCTTCTGGCATCTGCTGCCCAAGGCTGCTGCTTCACTCTGCCTAATGGTAGAGCTGGTCCTGTGTAGGATTCAGTATTTTAATATGAATAGTGGTAATCTGTTGTTGGATGCATTCGTGTAGAATCAGAGCATGCAGTAGCTCATTTGTAAGGATCTATTGCTTCTTCCAGGCTAGTAAGCTTTTGTGTGGCCACAGACACACTACGTCCTCAGCCCCGCCAAAGATACCTTGGTTGGAATGTCTGGCTTCCCCTGCACTCCTAGTTTTGCTTAGGATTGACGTAGCAGAGAAGTTCATTTGGATTTAGATATCTGAAGAATGCAAAACACTGTATCAAAGGGACACATATCAATTACTAATTCATTCTCCATTTTGTTTCCCTTGCTTTTCACTGAAAAGGCTTTAGCAGTTCACCAGGAGGTGAACTGCATGCGCCATTTTATTCCAGAATGTGAGCAACATCTCCAGGAGCTGAAGAAACAGAAGGAAAGGGGCTTGCTGTATGGTGTGCCTGTCAGTATCAAGGACCACATTGCATATAAGGTGATTCCATTTCTCTGAGTCACAATGGTTATCTAGAGTTGGGTGCAGATGGACTACTAAACGCCTAGGGCAGCAAAGCTGGGATTCATATAAGAAAGCTTTGTAAGATTATGGTTAGAACTTCAAAACAGCACAACAAAAAACTGTTGACCGTCCAGCTATTTGATATTGCAGCGTATACTGAGATGGCAGTGCAAAGTGTGCTATTATTAAGAATGCTTTCAAGTTGCACAGAATTCTTTGTTAGAATACCTAGCAGAAAATGCCCGTAAGCAGGGTATGGTGTTGGATAGTTATCAAAATACAGAGCTAGTTCAGAGTTTTGTTTTAGAACTGTTTCTCTAATAGTTTGAAAAACAGCCACAACCACCCAGGCATTTAACAAGCTTCTTTGCTTCTAGGGTCATTTATCAACATGTGGCCTTGTCCAGTCACTTGGTGCCTTGGCAGAAGAGGACAGTGTGCTGGTCGAGGTGTTAAAAAGACAGGGAGCAAATCCATTTGTAATCACCAATGTCCCACAATCCTTATTGAAGTAAGTTGCATATGCTTTTTTGTGTACTGGTGCAAGTCAACCTTGTGTACTGAATCAATTCACTCTGACTTTTTAACAAAATGAAATCATACATGTAAAAGTTTTTCACTGACTCAAAATGTCAGATCCTGAGGCACATTATTCATTACCAGTGATGGGTATGAGATAGGTTGATATGTACCATGTGAACACTGTGGGCACCCAGGCTGGCCATTCAATTCCCTCCAAGAGTGATGGAACATCATCAACTCCCATTGTTCCCTAGAAAGTCCCACAGTGCTGCCTGCTCTGGGTGGTGAGCAGCTGGTGGGACTTCTGGAAATGGTAGCTTTTTAAAGGAGAAAGAGAAGATTAGCAAGCTGGAGGAAGTGTTGGACAATGCCAATGATTTGGTTTTGGCCACCAAGTGTAACGTAACCATCTTTTCAGATGGCGAATCTGTGTTTATTTTGTTCCTCCAGGAGTTTGCAGTCATCTTTGACACAAAGAGTGTAGATAGTAACAATGTTTGGGGGGTTTTTAAATTGGGTTGTTGCTTTTGTTTTGATTTTATGTATTTGTTATTTTATGTGAACCGCCCTGAGACCTTCAGGTATAGGGCAGTATAGAAATTAAATAAATAAACTGGTGATGATGATGATGATGATGATGATGATGATGATGGTGATGTAAAACAGGGACAAGCCTTTGGCTCTGTATCTAGCATAGGTGAGAGGGATGTGGGTTGAAGGATCTTAAGATGCAGCAGGGCAACAGACATTCAGATGAAACTGCATTGAGTGCTAGTCAGGTATCAGGTTGCACTGAGGCCTCTAGCGAAGAAAGACACATGGGTTGCATTTAACTAATTTTTACTCAGAGTAGACCCACTGAGATTAATGACCATGACTAATTTAGGTTCCTTAATTTCCATGTGTCTCCTCTTCTCAGTAAAAGTTAGTTGAATACAACCTATAATGGCCATTCCACTATCTTTGCAAATACAGAAGTCTGCCGTTATTTGGATCTGTCAACCATTCTAGCACCTGGGTAACAGCCCTGGTAGCCTATTTTGAAATGTAGCTCTACAATGGAATGCATTCTTGGAAATTCCAGGCTAAATTAGTATTATGAGTATTTTTGCTCTTTCGAATATGGTTAGTACCACAGTTCTGTTGCTTGGTCATTAAAAAAATTGCCTAAACTTAAGGGTGGTACATCCTATTTCACCGTTTGAGGCTTCTGCGGCTCAAGGTGAGTGCCTCACCCTGCCTTGTCAGTGGGCCGGGCCTGCCTAAACTTGTTGCCAAGATATGGCTGCTTGTACCTGTCCTCTGTTTTCAGCCCATTATATTCTGGTTGATGGCACATGTCCAATACAGGGTGTTAGTATTTTGTATGCTACTTATCTGCAGTTCCATTGTGAGTTCAACAGGCATTTATTTTTAGCAAGTGCCATGATTGCCTTCTAACAAACAAATGGGTAACTGCTGTATTTCTACCGTCTTGTAGCTATGACTGCAGCAACTCTACTTTTGGCCAGACAGTGAATCCTCGTGATCATAAGAGAGGCCCTGGTGGATCATCTGGAGGGGAAGGTGCCCTAATAGCTTCAGGAGGGTCCATCCTGGGATTTGGATCAGATTTGGGTGGAAGTATCCGTCTACCCTCTAGCTTCTGTGGTCTTTGTGGGCTGAAGCCAACAGCAGGCAGACTGAGGTATGTACTGATAATATCGTAGCAAATGAATGGCATTCGTTGCTACGAAGCATGAAAATTCTCTCTCATAATATAAATATTGGAGACTTCGTTGGGAAAGATGATGAATGACTTCCTGAGTAGCTCTCGAACTTCTTAGGGAAGTGATCTGCTTGATGGCACAGTTTAAAAATTGTGGTAAACCATAGTTAATATTTACTGTGAACTTGAACATGGTTCAAGAGTTGGTGGAACTGGACCATGGTGAACCTTTCTTGCAGTGATCTTCACTCGAAGATTGTTCTGATGCCACAACTCTTATACCATCAACTCAGTTTTTTATTATGTGGTGCAGTCTTAATTGTAGATATGATCTGTGTTGCAAGATTGACATGGAAATTTTTTGAGATTGCAAGATCCTTGCATCTTTCAGACCCCCATCTAAATGCAAAACCTTTTCTGGCTACAGAACTCAAAGATCATAATCTCTGTTCTCATCCTGGTGCTCTGAGGGTCTAAGCAAATTGGCATGTGCAGCCTTATCTCCCAAGGAATGTGGATTTCCTTTAATCTAATGTTAAACAATCTCTTCTTTATCACTATTAGACATTGGAACTTGCTTTTCATGATTCTGGTAACCTTGCAGAACCATCTTTCCAAAAAGTCACTCATCCTTCTCCCATTCCCACAAATTATATTGAATACATTAAACAATAACAGGACTAACAATATACATGGCTATATTCACAAAATCTTTAGACAGTTTGCAACATAATATCTGATTTAATAAGGTGTGTTATGTCCAAACTGGGGGTTATAGGATTTTTCCTTCCAAACAAACTTTGATGTTAAGCTAAGGTGTGTTTTGGCTTACCTGTTGTGGTTTGTGTAAGCAAAACACATAATTATCCCTGATTCGGATGCCATGCTAAGCCAGGAATCCTGGTTAAGCATGGTTTAAAGCCATAAAATTACTCCCATTTCTATCTGGTGTGGTTTTAGCATAGCAAATGCATGTGAATATTATGCTGATTGCAATACTCATCAGACATGCCAGCCTCTCTCAAATCCCATAAATCCTTTCCCTTTTAAAAATATTTACTGTGCATAGTTCAGCTTATAGTATAATTGTTGTTGTTGTTCATTATTATTAATCACCTTACACACAAGCATCTCAAGGTGATGCACAATTAAAAAAAGCTTAAAGCCAGTTAAAAGTGCAACAACAACAACAACAACAACCCAGCAGATATATTTAAAAATTAAACACACACCCAGGCAGCACCCCATTTATGCAGCTGGGGAAGCCTGGCAAATGGACATTGATTTCGCCTTTCTGAGTGTGAACTAATTGACTCAGCAGCCTACATAAAGACAATTTTCCATTATTTGCATAAATTTGCTGCTAAGAAAACTTCTTCTGATAAATTATTGTGTATATCCTTTCTTTCAGAAGGAAGGGCAGGATATAAATTCAATTAATAATTGGGGAAATCTATCTGATTCAGTGATAGTGAACTGATTTCATTCCCCCCCCCCCATTGAAGAGGTTAGGTTCTGTTTCATTATTATTCTTGTATCTTTCTTGTCACAACTAACCACAGAATAAAACCTCGGATGGTTTCATTAGGTCATGAGAGTTATTTATAGTCCAAAACATCTGGAAGGCACCAACATGGGGAGAGTTGGTTTATGGCATTGCTTTCATGTCTGGTAAATAGCACCTTTGGGGCAAATAGCTGGGGGCAA